CCCAATACACAGACAGACAGACACCGACACTCACTTCTCTGCCCTCTCTGTGTCATTTACTTCGCAGACGTTGCCCGAGCGCCCCCCATCTCCACCGCCGGTGTTCGACCCCGCCGAGCCCATCGCGAGCCCCGCCGGCCCGTCCATGCCAACACCCTTTTCGCGCGACCACGTCACCCAGAAGCACGTCATGGTGCCCAAGAAGAAGCCCTTCGACAACCCACTCATCCCCCTCGGCCGCCCTAAGGCCAAGGGCAAGGAGCCCAAGCCCGCACCCCCCTGGGCCAAGCAGGGCGGCAAAAAGGACAAACGGCGACGCGACATTCCCAGCATTCGTGAGGCGCTAGACGATGCCATCCATGGGGTCGTCCATGGCCGGCGGCCGTCCCCTGCCCCCATCCCCAGCCAGATGGACGATGCCGGCTGGGAGGGCTTCATGAGGCAGCAGATGGAGCAGTCCAACCAGGAGGAGGACGAGTACGAGATGAAGCAGAAGGAAAAGCAGGCCAACAGGTGGGGCAACAACGGCAAGGGCAAGAGGGACCGGCTTGACGAGAGGCGTGACGAGAGGGACGACGAGGCCGAGGTCGACCCTCTGAAGGGGATGACTCAGCGTGAGAAGGAGGAGCAGCAGCGGCTGCTGAGACAGTACGAGAGAAAGAAGAGCCGGGCCAAGAAGCTGTCGTCCAGTCCTGCTGCCGCGGCGGCGGCTGCTGCCGCATCGTCGGGTGGCGCAGCCCATGGTGAGGTGGAGGAGGTCGAGGAGGTGGAGGCGCCGCTGCCCTCACAAAACCGTCATGGACTCAATGACTGGAAGTAAGTAGAACCACACATACACAAACAGTCTCTCATCGCACAGTCTCAGAGGTGTATGTCCGTCTCGTTGTTTCTTTTGCAATCACCAGGGAGAAGACCAAGGAGGGTAGCAACCCCTTTGGCCCCCCCCAGCCAGAGCTGCAGCCTTACGGCCCACCACCGCCACCCTTACCGCCTCCACCCCGTCGCCGCAACCGCATCGGTCTCGAGCAGAACGACCTCCTGCAGCCCAGTGGCAATCACAAAGACCCCATCGACCTCGACAATGACGACAACGAGGCCAACAGCCGCAGCAACGACCAGCCCGGGCAGCCGAACCAGCAGCAGCCAGGCGCCGCGAAGGCCAAGGCAGGCATCCGGGGCCGGAGCATATTCCACCAGTTCAAGGGCTTTCAGCTTGCCGACCGGCCGAAGCGACAGGCGCGGCCGGACATGGACAAGGCGCCCCCACACATGCGGCAGGGCGCGCGAGGCAATCCCCCGGCCAGTCTGATGGACTCCATCAGCGAGGGGCTGGACGGGGGCAATGCCGCCAAGAAGCCCAGGAAGAGCCCCAAAGACGAGCAGGCCGAGCGCAACGCCAAGATGCACGGCGTGGGGGACGAGGCGCCCCCACTGCCGGCGGCACACAACGGCAGGAAGGGGGCTGCTGCTGCTTCAAGTGCGGCTGCTGTTGGTGGTGGTGGTGGAGGCCCGCAGCACGCCGAGATGGTCGATTCCGGCTCCGATGAGGAGCAGCCGCTCGACAAGCCGAGGAAGGACAAGCAGGGCGACAAGAAGGCTCAGCCTGCGGCGTCTGAGCGCACCCAGCGGCAGCTGAGGCGGCAGCGCGACAAGGACATTCAGCAGCCACAGCCGGACGGCAAGAAAGTGGTGATCGACCTTGAAAACGCCGACGCCAACGCCAACGACGACAAGGCCAAGGCCAAGGACGACGATGACGTCGTGATGGTGGGCGAGTCCATGGGGGCGGGTGGGCAGCAGGGGCAGGGGGACGGAGAGGGCGGCTCCGCCAGGCGGCGCCGGAGGAAGTGAGGTGATCGGCCGATGGATGGATGGATGGATGGATGGGAGGGTGATATCTATGAAGTGGCTGGCCATGAGCTGACCGAGGTTGTCTTCTCGCCGGAGGTGTCGAGGGGGCAGACATGGGTGCCGGCACACACATGGCTGGTACTGGTGTTTGCTCTTCATCAGCTTCGGCTAGGCGGCCATGCGGGCAGCGTGCAGCCACGGAGAGTGAGATTGTCCATGTGAATGATTGGTGGGCCCATTGATTGTCTGGTTCCTTCGGTAGTGTCGTGCTTGTTTTGCCGTGCCGTGTAGCCAGCCCAGCCACTGATGCGATCGATGCGACCGCTCCTGTGCAGACAGATCGGTTTTGGACCGCCGCGCACGTGTGGTATTTGCTTTGCCGGTCACGGATGCGTCGGTGGAACCGTTCCCTGTCTGCGTGTGTGTACCATTCCAACATTTTGTGGGCCACTTGACAATATATAATGAATCAACGTCCATCATACACACTCACTACATGTCGTGTGACAAACACACACACCAACGAACGAAGGCAAAAGCGACGTCAGTCAATGCAAAACCTCTATCTATCTGCAACTCTGCAGCAGTGAGGGCACGATATTAGCTACCGTACGAGTCTCCTACACTACACTTACCCCTGCCCATATATGTCCATAAACGCATCGAAACAGCCCGCAGGTAGCTTACGTACAATCCCTCACCCCCTCCCTCCCTCATTCTGTCTCTGTGTTGCCCTTCCTCGTCTCGTAGAGGAACACAAACACAGACGCAACCACACTCGCCGCAGTCCCAATCAGCTGCCAGTTGAGCAGCACCGCACCTCCCACCGTCAGACCAGGGCGTAGGTTGCTCACTTGGTGAGCGAACCTCAGCAGCTCCAGCTCCCGCTGCACCCCAGACTCTGATGTCTCTTCACGACGCGTCACGATGTGTGTGCTCTGTGCTAGCGCCTCTTCACACATCGGTGCGATGGATGTGTCCAGCGAGTGACTCCGCAGGAGCAGCAGCGGCTTGCGCGATGACTGTCTCGATGTGAGAGGGGCGGCAAGGGGCGGTGGGGTGGGTGGCGGGGCGTTAGTGTGCTGGTCAGGGGGCAGCTGTATCTGCAGACACTTGGACAGCAGGTGGTCGTGCCAGGCGTAGATCTTCGCAGCCTTGTACCCCACAATGCCCTGCGCACACACGCGGACCGGACGCAGCAACGCAAGGCAAGGTAGGTACCGATGTCAAATGTGTGGTGGGTGGATGCGATGCGCGTATGTGTCTTTCAGCTTGCCTGCAGCAAGAGGCCGGTGAGGAGCCAGAAGAAGAAGGACCCCATGAGGGTGGAGGACGCCCCCTCCCGGAAGAAAACAATCCTATAGATCAGGAAGATGGTCAGGGCCGAGTTAACACTGAACCAGGTAGCCACGAAGGGACGGAAGATCCTGTCGACCACCAGCACCGCCTGGCACAGCTGCCGATGCGCCACGGTCAGCTGCGCCAGCGACGGCACCTTGCCCGTCGGCTGCCCGTCACTGTCAGTGTCTCGATGCACTCCCAGCAACTCGTTCGAGTTGCCGAGGGCCGGAATCAGGTGGTCAAGGGCCATACCAAAGTGCCTGAATCGCTCGTGCAGCAGCCCAACGGCCAGGGAGTAGGGCAGCAAGGGCACGATCCACGCGAAAGAGCACAACCCCTGAAGCACCAGCTGCAGCACCGCCCACCAGTAGATGCCCGGTTCCTCTTCCTGAATGGTCCACCCCTGCCCGTCGGGCTGAGCGTAGGGGTAGTTGATGACCAGTCGTATCTCAGCCCCGATAAAGTAGCCGAAGAAGAGAAGAGCCCAGTTGAGGACGCCGGTGCAGAAGCACACAATCGACCAGATCTTGGCGGTCCTGTTGAGCCGCTCGGTGGAGAAAGCCACTGCTGGTGGGGGCTTCATGTGCCAGTAGGATGACCTCAGCAGGCATTTGAACAGCTTGCACAGCTTCTGCTTGGGCACGCACAGCAGCAGCCACAGCCGGACGCAGCCCGTGAGCACGTGCCAGAGGGCGCTGTTGGTCAGCAGCACGGCCCGGTCGTCGTTGGCCTCGACAGCATCAAGGTCCACCAGAAAGAGCAGCTGCTGCACGGCCGACAGCCAGGGGACCAGCATGGCCACAGCGGCAACGACCCGCTCCGCTCGTGTGTGTGGGACGAGGAAGGTGATGCGGAGAAGCAGAACCATCCATTTCAGAGCCTCGTCCTCGATAAGATCCGTCGTCACATGCTCCAGCCGTCTGATGCTGCTGGTGGCCTCTGTGCCTTGCTTCTGCCGTGCATCAGTATCTGCAGTCGCAAGATCTGCCTTGGCATCCTCTCGCTGATTTTTGTCGCTCTCCTCGTTGGTGGACGTTGATGAGGAACCGTCCATCGCTCTTCAAAGCGGACTCCCCCTTTCGGCTTAGCTCGCAGTGGGAAGATGGCTGATGTGCCTTCGTTTCGCTATGGCGTCGGTGTGGTCGTGGTCCAAGATCCAACGCGCCTCTCACAGCCCGACTTCCACCGCTTCTTGCTGTGGGCTGCATCGTGTGTCCGCCTCGTCCGCAGGCAGCTTCTGATCTACTGGCTGGCGCCAGACGACCACACGGCACCCCGGCAGTACCTATTCGATGTTTTATCTGTCATCTATGGGTATCTGGCGCGTGTCGGCCTGAAGCACACCAACCCACTGCTGGATGTCTGCCTGCTGCCCCTGGCCTCTGCAAGGGACTTGGCGCTGTGTCTGGGTGAGCATGAGGAGCCTATTGGATTCACTGACGGCACGGCCATGACTGAGGAACCGGCCATCACTCTGCCTCTGATGAGTGATGGCTCGCCTCTTCCGTCGCTCGGCGTGCCAACAGCACAGCCGCCAGACATGCCGCCCCTCCCGCCCCTCCCACCAGTGCGCCAAGGCAGCTATCGGCGCGTGAATCGGTCCGTCTTTGCCGGCACCTTCGACCGCCTCCACGCCGGCCACAAGTTGCTGCTGACCTTCACGAGGCTGCTCACCAAGCAAACCATGATTCTCCGCATCACGGGCCCGTCGATGCTGACCAAGAAGCGGCACGGCGACTTCCTCGATCCCTACAGGACGCGAAAGGAGGCGGTGCGAACCTTCGTGTCGAGAGTGAGGGTCGAGAGTGGCGACGACGTTGACATCGATGTTCTCAATGACCCGGTCGGGCCCGCCGGGACGATCGATTTCGACGCGCTGGTCGTCACGAGCGAGACACGGAGGGGCGGGGAGCATGTCAACAAGGTGCGAGAGGAGAACGGCAAGCCGCCAGTGGAGCTGCTGGAGCTGCAAGTGGTGGGCGGGGAGGAGGAGGAGGGCAAGGGTCAGGGGAATGACAGCAACAGCGGCAAGCTGAGCTCGACGGACCTGAGAAAACACCAGGCCGACCGTGCACAGGCGCTTGGGGTGGTGGTGCCGGCCATGCGGGATATGTTTCGGCAGCTGACGGTGCAGCAGCTAAAGGTGGATGAGGAGGTAGCCGACGTGTGGTTCATGCGGCTGGTGGACATGCACCTGGAGCCATGGCGGCACTATCACACCCTCCGACACATATCCGACCTCATCTCCCTGCAAACCACCCACAGCCCCCCCGTCCCGCCCCCCTGTGCGTGTGCCATCTCCCTCGCCGTCTGGTTCCACGACGCCATCTATGTCCCCCACCGCAAAGACAACGAAGAGCGGTCGGCAGAGCTGCTCGAGGCCTTCATCCAAGAGGTCAGCCTGCGCGTGATGCATCGGCAGGTGGCCGATGCGGCCGTGCTGTTTGTGCGGGCGACGGCGAGCCATTTCGAGTGGGCTGGTGCGTCGGGTGCGGAGCGGCTGAGGGCTGAGGGGTGGGGAGAGGAGTGGGTTCAGGCCATGCAGTGGTTCCTGGACTTCGACCTGAGTGTGCTGGCGTCGGAGAAAGAGAAATACGATGCATATGCAGATCAGGTGAGCAGCGACAGATGCCTGTGTCCCCACAAGCACCTTTCTGTGCCTGCCTGTCTTCTCTTCAGATTCGTCTCGAGTACACCCATTTGGCGCCATCGGTGTACCGCAGTGAGCGGGCCAAGTTCCTGCGGTCGCTGCTGGATCGGCCTCAGCTGTTTTCCCATCTGGGTGGGACGGCCGAGGCGGATGCGCGACGGAACATCCGAGCAGAGGTGGAGAGACTCGAGCAGCCCGAGTAAGGGACGAGGGCTGAGACAGCGAGGAGGGGACTAGGTCAGTGGCGCTTCGTTCGAGCTATTAGTTTTTTGTTTTTTTTTGCGCTTTTGCCTATCGTGCACGCGTGATGGTTGCATGTCAATGGATCGTTTCCGTAGACCTGCATGAGCTCAACGAACTTTTGCTGTCGCTGTTCGCTGTGTCGCACTTGTTGCAGCGTGCCTGTCCTTTGCGACCTTTCTGGCGGTGTCGAGCCGACACCTATCGTCTGTCATCTCCCACCACTGATCCCTCCACACACTGCAGTCGAAATGAGGCAGCCGACCCATTTCCAGGTCAGCTGTGATGCAGTAGACACACATTCAACATACACACATTCAATGCGCTCTGTCGTGTGTGGGTGAGTGCATTCACGCAGTACGTTGGCACCAGCCGGCCATCGGCATCGTTCGCCGCGCAGCAGAAGACAGACAGTGAAGGCGACTTCCTGGCCTGCTCATGCTCCGGCCTTTCTGTGAGCTGCGTCGACAACCACTGCCCTTGGTAAACTGAGGCATACCTCCTCCAGACATCAATCATGCAGCACGCAAACAATCCTTATATATTGCGTGTGTCTCAGCGTGTCTGCCAGCGGCGGGCCATCCTACACGCCCGACGGCCTTCTCTCCCTTCCTCCTGGGAGAAGGAACAGCCAGCAAAGGCCCATCATCGAGTGCCATTCTACCTGTGGGTGTGCCAAAGGGGGCGGGTGCCGCAATCGGGTGGCGCAGGGCGGCGTGCGGTGGAAACTTGAGGTTTAGGCGCAAACAGACAGTGGTGGCGTGTGTGTGCGTCACATGATGGATGGATGGATGGGTTGATGTCTTGCAGGTGTATTGGCAGGACACTGTCGGCTGGAGCGTGAGGACACTCGAGGGCATTCCCAGAGGTGGGTGAGAGTGTCCAGATGCAGGGTAATACTATTATGGGGTTTGTCTGTCTTTACCCATTTGTTTACCGTGGGCAGGCGCCTTTGTGGCTGAGTACGCGGGAGAGTACCTCACAGAAGACGAAGCCACTACACGCCTCAAGGTCGGTCGGCGTGCATTGCATTCCACCCGCCAGCATGTCTCTCTCTACACTTGTCTGTCTGTCCTCGCAATGCCATGCAGCGTCTTGACGCCGAGAACGAGAGCCGCATGCGCTCATCCCGCCCGCTGCGACCCAACTTCCTACTCACGACAAGAGAGCATTGGTCGGTCGGTCGGTCAGTCAGTCAGTCACTCGCTCGGTGGGTTGGCGGGCTGCCAATGGTTGGAATCAAACCTCCATCTGTCTGGCTGTGTGTGGGTGTGCAGGGGTGAGCGTTTAATGACGACCCGCATCGACGCCGCAGAGTGCGGCAGCATCGCCCGGTTCATCAACCACTCGTGCAGGCCAAATCTGCAGGTACAGGCTTGGATGGACCAATCGACTTGACGGAGTGATGGGTAGATGCCATGCAGCTTGACGTGGTGCGAGCGGGTTCCCTGATCCCCCGTGCGGTGCTCTTTGCGAGGGAGGCCATTCCTGCAGGCACTGAGCTGAGTTATGCCTACGGGCCACCCATGCGGGATGACGTCGGAGGGAGAGTGAGGTGTCACTGCGGGGCACCTGAGTGCACTGGCATGATGCCTGCAGCCACTTGATCCAACTGGCTCACATCCATATACAGCGCTGGTGGCGCTGCATGCAAAGAATTTGGATGCCTGCACGATGAAACGCCGACAAGGCCGCGGCGACTGGGCCGTTGCCGTGAGACGCACAGTCTCGCCCCCAACAGCGATTCGTAAACTCGCTGAATCCGAACCGAACCAGAGGAGAGAAATGAGGGGCATTACGGCTCTTCTCGTCTTGTTTGCTGCTGTTGCGGCGGCCAACGGTACACACACGAGGATGAGCACCCACCACACCAGACCGCCCCTGCACCCACCCGTGCATTCCCTCTTTGTGCGTTGATATATGCAGCGTTCGCCACGACGGCGCGTCGCAAGGAGGGTGTTCGAGGTGGGTACAGTAGATTCATTTGTGCCACCATCCATCTGCAAGCGCAGATCTGCCACCATGCGACGTACCTACCGAGATCTCGCTTTCCCTCTGGCTGAATGAAATGCAATGTGCAGACACGTTGACGTACGGCGCTGCAGCTGCCATTCAGCAGCTGCAGAAGTTGCTGGTGGCGCAGCAGCAGCTCAAGGGCGCCAGGGCCATGATGGCCGCCGCGGCGGAGATGACCAAGACTGCCCGCGACGCCATCCACACGGCCGAACGACTCATCAAGGACATCACACACACACAGGAAGGTCGGCGAGAGAGCCCCATGGCAGTGGGCCACACACAAATGTTGTATGTGGTCGTGCAGGGATTGGCAGTGGGTCCGAGACGACTGGCTGCGGGGATTTTAACCAGAGATGCAAGAACAAGGAGCGGTGGACCCCGTGTGTGTACGAGACTGACCAGTCCCCCGACTACGACGTCAAGGGAGCGAAAGCCGCGGGGATGGGGTGCTTTTGCGATGGGAAGGGCAGATGCCTCCGCGGCAGCTACGCGCAGGTACGGCACCCGCAGTGGGCTCGTTCATGTGTTGGTTCTGTTCTGCTGCATGTGCTGTGCTGTGTTGTGCCGGTGTGTATGCTCAGAAGGAGGCCGAGGGCTACTAGACAGCGCCATTGATACGCCGAGTAGACAGACTTACGTGCAGAATTAGGGGAGGGAGAGTTCGAGTGACGCAAGGGATGACTGACCATGGGTGTGTGATGCTGTCCGCACCATGTGCAGCCCCGTCCCCACACCCACACCCACACCCACTAACATGTGTACGTTTGTGAGCACTCTGATGTGTGCAGCTGCATGGATGGACCTATCATTTGAAAGACACGCCATGGACCCTATGTGAAAGATGCCGTTTGCGGCTGGTTCGTGGATAAAGCAGTCTGCCTGTTTGTTTGGGGGAAAAAACTGCCCAAACATAGAGAGAGGTGTCGAAGAACGCAGAGAGCGCACATATGCTCCTCCATGTCTGCCATGCACACAGTTGCACACAGCACGCACCACGCACCACGCACCAACCTTTCCACAGATCAGAAGAGGAAGTACCTCTGCGCCAGCGGGAGGACGGACGCTGGCTCACACTGCAGCAGCTCAGAGCCACCCTGTCAGCACACACACACACACAAACACACACACTTACTTTATCCCTCGACCGCCCCCTCTTTGTGTGTGTCGGTGGCTGACACACCTTGTCGTCGGTGACTGTGACGTGGAACCGTTCCGGGTCGATGTGTATCTTGGGGCAGTGGGCGTTGAGCACCATGTCGGCCTTCTTCACACGGCGGATGTCCTTGACCGCCTCCACACGCTTTGAAATCCCCCATGTCTTGGTCACGCCCGAGTCAACACACGCCTTGGACACGAACACCAGCGAATTGGAGCCAACCGCCTGAATGATGGACACGCAGACACGGCCGTGCCGTGGTGGTGCTGAATGTGGCCTGGCCGGTCACGTGTGTATGTGTGTCTCTATGTGCTGACCTTTCCGAAGGAGCCGAACATTTCGCGCTGCATGACGGGCTGCGGGGTGGGGATCGACGCGTTGGGCATGCCTGCACACAACACACACACACACGCACACACACACACAGAGGATCCCGTCCACCATCGGTCCACCGCTCACCCATTTGTGCCCATGCGATTTGTCCGCCCTTGATGATGATCTCGGGCTTGGTGCCGAAGTAGCCCGGCTTCCACAGACACAAATCAGCCAGCTTACCAACCTGACACACCACACACAAAGGCAAGTCATTGCAGCAGCGGCCATTGATATGGTCTCTGTGCGTCTGTCTGCCTGTCTGTCTGTCTGTCTCTCTGCTCCCGCCCACCCACCTCGACAGATCCGATGACGTGGCTCATGCCGTGTGTGATGGCGGGGTTGACCGTGTACTTGGCGATATAACGACGCACCTGACAACACACACACACAGAGACTGACAAGTGCCATCGATGGATGTGATGTGCCTGTGTGGCGTGTCCAGCCCGCCCACCCTGTAGTTGTCAGCGCCAGTGTCTTTGTCTTCGGGCAGGTGGCCCCTCTGCTTCTTCATCTTGTCGGCCGTCTGCCACGTGCGGCAGATGACCTCGCCGATGCGACCCTGTGTGCAGGCAGCGGCGAGGTCACACCATGACTTAGCCAGTGGGTGTCTGGGCGGCTGACCATGGCCTGTGAGTCTGACGACATGGTGGAGATGGCGCCGAGGTCGTGGAGGATGTCCTCAGCCTGACGTGAGTGCGCACAAACACTCATGCAGGGATACTGCACGTCTCTCTCTCTCTGGGTGTGTACCTGGATGGTCTCAGCCCGAATGCGCGACTCAGCAAAGGCCAGATCCTCCTTAAGATTCTGCACACACACACACACACACACACGATATCGCCCACAATATCTATCGCCTCTATCTAATGCCTTTCCTTGGCTTGCCTTGTCCAGATGGTGGCACACACACAGCATGTCGACATGCTCGTCGATGGTGTTGACGGTGTAGGGCCGCGTGGGGTTGGTCGAAGACGGCAGCACGTTGGGCTCCCCGCACACCCGCATGATGTCGGGCGCGTGGCCGCCCCCCGCTCCCTCAGAGTGGTAGGTGTGGATGCTCCTGCCCTTGAAGGCGGCGATCGAGTGCTCCACGCAGCCAGACTCGTTGAGGGTGTCGGTGTGGATCGTCACCTGCACGTCATACGCCTCGGCGGCACGCAGACACCTGCACAGAGAGAGATGGAGAGAAAGAGAGAGAGAGAGGGAGGGAGGGAGAGATGGGGAGAGAGGGAGAGAGAGAGGTGTGTGTCAATGGCGGGGATGGGTGGCTGGTTACGTGTCGATCGCAGCAGGTGTGGTTCCCCAGTCTTCGTGAAGCTTGAGGCCCACGGCGCCGCCAACGATCTGCTCCTTCAGGTCGATGGCGATCTCGTCGCCAGACTGATCGTCCCACACACCACAACAGCAGAGGTCTGCCCCTTACTTCCTTCCTGTCACTCACCAGCGATGTGTTGCCCTTGCCAGTGAAGGCGAAGTTCATTGGGAACTCATCTGCACACATACACACGCCTCACGTGTGCTGTGCCCTTTCCATGGGCCGTTCGTTCTCTTGTGCGCCACAGGCATGCCATGCCTGTGGCGAGAATCATGTCTTTGATGTTTTTGGGCCCAGCCGTGCAGGTCGTCGCGTTGGTGCCAGTGGCAGGCCCGGTGCCGCCACCAAGCAGCGTCGTGATGCCTGCACAGCACTCAGAAGCTTGCAAATATGGGATTGATTGCGGTGGTGTGGTGTGTTCTGCTTGACGGGTGCGTGCCTTGCCTGATGCGATGGCCTCTTGGTAGAGCTGTGGGCATATGAAGTGGACGTGGACGTCGAGGGCGCCGGCGGTGAGGATCAAGCCCTCACCGGCTATGGCCTCGGTCGTCGCACCCACCCACATGGAACCGTCCACACCCTGCACAGACACACACACACACACACACACGCACACACACACACAGACAGATATATTACGGACCCTGCACTGCATCCATCCACCAGATGTCTGTCTGTCCGTCGTGAGCGTGTGGCTCGGCTCGCCTGCATGACGTCGGGATTGCCGGCCTTCCCAATGCCAACGATCATGCCGCCCTTGAGACCAACGTCAGCCTGCACACATAACATACACATACACAACAGACACGATGGAGGCATCAATCACTGCGTGCACCGCTGGCGGCCAGCATAGCATACCTTGACGATACCGAGTTTGGCGTCGATAATGAGTGCGTTGGTGATGACGCAGTCGAGGGCCTTGGCGGGTGAGCAGTTGGCCATCTGACCCATACCCTCACGGAGCACCTTCCCACCGCCGAACTTGCACTCGTCGCCATAGACGGTGAAGTCCTTCTCCACCTGAACCACGAGAGCCGTGTCGCCGAGACGCAACCTGTCGCCCACTGTCGGCCTGCAATGTCACTCACGCTCACACATGGATGACGCGACGCGACAAGAGAAAAGAGCTGCCAGGGTAGGGTACCCACCCGTATGTGTGTGCGTAGATGGATCTTGGGATGGTCGCCACGGGGGCAGGCTGCGCGCCAGGCTCCTCCTGGTGCAGGAAGCCCTGCTGCTGCAGCTTGGCGAGGACTGCCGGGATCTTGGATGGGTCGGCCACGCCGTCCACCAGACCGTTCCCTGCAGACGGACGGACGGCCCCATGCAGACAGACGGTGAGGGTGTGTTAGTCTGGGTGGCGGTCGGTGAGTGAGGGAGGCACCTCCGTAGACCTTCTTGTTGCCGGCGATCTCCACCAGATGCACCTGACGCGTCTGGCCTGTGCGAATGAATGACACCCTGCGTGGCGTCTACCGACCATTTCACATAGCTTGGTGTGGTATCCACCTGGTTCGAAGCGCACAGCTGTGCCCGCGGCGATGTTCAGCCGCATCCCCAGCGCCTGCAAATCACGAAGAAGCACACGCATCGCATGCAGTCTCTTTGGCAAGAGTAAGGCACCTGACCTTGGCCCGGTCGAATCGGAGGTACGGGTTCGTCTCAATGAAGTGATAGTGGCTGCCGACCTGAGTGAAGCAAGCAAGCAACAGACGACCTTTGGGAACGAAGATCTATCCTTCTGTGCATGCCTTACCTGGATGGGCCTGTCGCAGGTCGATGTGACAGTGAGAGTGACGGTCTTGCGGCCCTCATTCAGCACCAGCTCCCCTGACGCAGGCACCAACTCGCCTAGTGGTGGTGGGATGGGAGGGAGCAACCACAGACATAACGAGAATCCACACGATGGATGACCGGCTCCACCAGCCAACCTGGCGACCTACCTGGTGTCGGAGAGCTTTCGGCGGTGTGATACTTGTCCCCTGCAGGCAGGCATCGACGCACACAGACACAGACACAGACACGGGCACTCTCCGTCGTATTTTCAGTCTTTATTTATGTGCGTGTGTGTGCCCCTGCCAAGGCCCACGCACCAGGATACTTAGCAGCCACAAAGATGGCCACGTCCGGCACAGGCAGGAACGACCCGTGAAGCGCCAAGCTGAGGTCGCCATCCTCGCGGCATATCGGGTCATGCACCTGCCCCCCCCATCACACAGCATGACAGACACAATAGATAGATAGATCAGTCAGTCTGTCTGTCTGTCTGTCTGTCCCGGTCAGCGAGCGTACCGTGACGAGTTTGGTGCCGTCAGGGAAGGTGCCCTCCACCTGCACGTCGTGGAGCAGTGCCGCCACGCCGGGCAGCACCTGGTTGAAGCCCAGCAGCTCACGGCCCTTCTGCATCAGCTCGGACACCCTGTAACCTGCTTACACAGACATCCAGACAGGGCAGTGCAGCGTGACACTGTGTCGGCCCACCACACCGTAGCCCTCCCCTTGGCGCACTCACCTTCGCGAACGAACTCCAGCACTTGTGCGGCGATGAGGGCCGTCGCCTCAGTGCTGTTGAGCCGAATGCCGCGGGCAAGCCTGAACCGTGAATGACTCATACCAACGACACGCACCATGCCATGAGTGAGCAGATTCTTTAAGAGAGAGATCTATACCGTTTCTGCGCCAGGAAGCCCACATTGTGCACAAGGAGGTTGTCGATCTCCTTCGGAGAGAGCTTCATTGCCAGATCTTCCCTTCCCGCGGATCGCGAATTGCACACACAAGCTCGCGGAGGAAGAGACCCCCAGCAAAGGACCGGAAAGAACAAGAGCAACATCGCCACAAGAAGACGAGAATCTCTCTCATGGGTAAGATCTTCTTTGTCCTGGTTGCTACCGCCACTTCAGCCCTCTCCGTCTCTATCCTCGGCTTCGACGTGCAGTGGACGCCCACAGGCGGCTTCAACATCACCACTGCCACCGCCACAGAAGATGCGGCGCCTCACGTGGTGGTCAGGACGCCGCCAGATCGGTTCCTGTTTGACGTGTCAGCAGATCCGTCTGTGATGGAGGAGTCATCTGGCAACTTCTACGAGCGCTTCGATGAGGGCCATGCCGACCCGTTCTGCCCCTTTGAGATCCCGCGCAACGTCACTTTGGACCGAGGAGGTCGGGATGATTCGGCTGTTCTCGCGGGTGATCTGTGTGTTAGCGAGGAGAGGTCGTCATCATGTCAGCGGCTCCGTGGCTGGGAGTGCGTCAGCTTCCGGGTGGTGTTATCGTCCATATCTGATGCGGCAGTGAGAGGCAGCAGCGAGAAGGACCACAACAAGTGGCCCATCGTGCGGTGGCAGATTCAGCTCTCTCCGACAAACGCCAGCGACCATCTGCGGTGGAACCAAAGCGGTCTTTCGTGGATAGCGATACGAGGTAAACCGACGGCAGCCAAGCTGACCCTCAACTTGGCGAGTGACGCAGACGAGCACGTCTTCGGCGCCGGGACACAGTTCACCCATTTCGACCTCAAGGGCCATCGGGTGCCCATTCTCTCGTCGGAGCAGGGGGTGGGTCGTGGGATGCAGCCGCTGACGACGCTGCTGGAACGCACCAGCCCTCATGCCGCCGGCACGTCATTCACCACCTACACGGCCACGCCCCTTTTCCTCACCTCGGCGGCCAATGGACTCTTTCTCAACTCTTCTGCTTATTGTGTGCTGGACTTCACCGAGCCGAATGAGACGACAATAGAGGTATCGGAGACTCTTGAGGAGACTTTCGAGTGTACGGCGGCAGACGGGGGTCCGTGCACGCTCCTGTCGCTGGAGCTCTTCACATTCACCCACACGCCCCTCCGCGACGATGGCGATTCGCATACGGCCACTCTGGCCTCTCTGGTGCACACGGCCACGCACTTCACAGGCCGCCAGCGGGTATTGCCCTCCTGGATCTCTGCCGGCGTGATCGTGGGCTACTGGGGCGGCACCCAACGAGCAGAGGAGATGGCCGACTTCCTGCTGGAGCGGGGCGTGCCGCTTGTCGGCCTGTGGCTGCAGGACTGGACGGGCGTCCGCGAGACTGACTTCGGCATCCGACTGTGGTGGTCGTGGGACGTCGACCGGCACCACTACCCCGGTTGGGAGTGCATGCTGAAGCGCCTCATGGACAAGAAGGTGCGGGTGTGGACCTACAGCAACCCCTATCTGTCGACAGGGGTGGGGGACGATCCGAGAATGAAGGGCCGGCGGGACCTGTTTGCCGAGGCGGCTGGTGCGGGTGTGCTGGTGATGAACGAGTCGGGGCTGCCGTATGTGCAGTACTCGGTGGACCCTGCCTTCAGATTTGGGACTGTCGATCTGACCAACCAGACAGGACGGCACTTCTTCGTTGATGTAAGCAAGCAAAGCCAGCGAAACATGTCTGTCTGCCTCAATAAACTCAATCATGTGTGCCGATCGCTATGGTATGCGTATGTCGCGATGGATGTCCTGCAATGCAGCTGATCCGCTGCCACATGCTGCATCTGCCCGAGTTCTGCCCCTCCGATGACACAGTCAACAGCACATGCCGCTCCGAGACCGGCCGGCCCGTCCCCGTTGCGGGATGGATGGCCGACTTCTCGGAGTACCTGCCCTTCGACGCTGCCCTCGCAAGCGGCAGAGGCAGAGACATCCACAACGCCTTCCCGCAGCTATGGGCGTCCGTCAACCACGAGGCTCTGCAGGAGACGCCTTATGCTTTGTCGGATGATGGGAGAGAGACCGGGGAGGAGGTGATATTCTTCATGCGGGCGGGGGGCGTGCAGGGGCCGAGGTACACGCCTCTGTTTTGGCTGGGCGACCAGCTGACGAGCTGGGATGAGCACGACGGCATTCGGAGCGCGCTGATCGGCCATCTGACGGCGGGGCTGAGTGGGTGGAGCCTCACGCACAGCGATGTGGGCGGCTACACCATGCTCGACGCACCCAGTCCCAATGGTGGCGGTGGCGGGGATGTGTATGTGCGGTCCAAGGAGCTGCTGCTGCGCTGGATGGAGATGAACGCCTTCACCGACGCCGTACTGCGTACACATCAGGTGGGGTGGGTGGAGGGACACACGCAGAGCAGACACACAGGTCGGTCAGCGCAGCGGCACCTCTCTCTCTCTCTGTCTGTGCGGTCGGTGCGAATGGATGGATGGGTGGAGGACAGGGGAATCGTCCCGAGGACGCCTGGCAGGTGTGGACCGACGGCGAGTCGTTGGAGCACCTCAAGAAGTTCGCCACCGTACACCGCCTGCTGGCGCCGTACAAGCAGGCCCTCATGCGGCAGGCACACGCATATGGCCTGCCCCTCGTCCGACACACACTGTTCCATATGCCGCTGAATGAGGAGACCTTGTCATTGCCCGGGTGGAGTGAGCTGCTGGGTCAATGCCTGGTCGGCGAGGACCTGCTCGTGGTGCCTGTGCTGACGCAGGGAGCCAAGACCGTCACGGTGAGCCCCCCCACACACACAGAGGTTCTGTCCATCTGGGTTCATGTTCAGGCGTATTTTCCCCCTCCATGGCCTTCGCCCATCCCCCTGCAACAACCCGCCACCGGTCAGCCAACCTCCACCCCATCCCTGCGACGTCGACAAGAAGAAGCGTCCTCATTCCACCCAGACACACGGGGCTGCAAGAGTCAGCCCGACGGATGGGTGCATCTGTGGAGCGGACGGGTGTACAGTGCCGGTGGGTGGCAGGCAGACATTCCTGCGCCAATAGGGCAGCCAGCCGTGTTTGTGAGGTGCGGGTGGGTCTATATGGATGGTCTGTTGGGGGGGTTGAGGGATGCGGGTTATTTGACGGTGTCTGTGCGGACAGATGGTGATAGTTACTATGAGCAGCACATTTCGTGAATGTCTTCACTCACTGGAGCTGGATCCGGTCCACGCACTCACGGACCATGGTTAAGTTAGAGAGACCACACACGCACACACCGCAACGTCTTGCGCGTGTCGGTAGGTAGGTACCACATCCATCCATCCATCCATTGGTTCACAACGACTCGCTCACGCAGCATATCTGGCAAAAACACGGAATAGTGTCCATCCATCCATCCATCCATCCGCCTCATCTAAATGCACCCACAAATGGCACGGACACCACACATACTACAACAAGACATGACGCAGCATAGCCAGCTGAGCCACCCGGCGGACCGGACCCCTCTCTCTCTCTCCTCAGTATACAAGAGCTGTCACGTCACCTGCTCACTCACTCACCACGTCAACCACCTCACCTCCCCACCAGACAGACCATCGTGCGATCGACACATACAAAGTGACCAAAAGGCGCTTAGGTTAGATAGGATTGGCAGGTAGGGACGATTGACACCAAAAGCTCCTACCTACCGCAGCACGTCATAGCCGTCAGCCGCCCACAATACCTCTCCCGAATTGCCTGCCTGCTTGCCTGCCTGCTTGCCTGCCCGTCCGTCCGTCAGTCAGGTAGCCATATCGGCGTCTTGCCCTCCCGTTGTTCTTTCCTCCTTGCCTCCCGTCTTGGTCTTCTTCTTCTGTGGGCCCTTTTCCGAGCTGTCCTCCAACGAAGTGTCACCCTCTCCCTCACCATCCCCCTCGCCCGATCCCTCGGCCTCATCGGACCCTTCCTCGTCATCTTCATCACCTTCTCCTTCCTCCTCCTCCTCCTCCTCCTCCTCGGATGAGGATGAGCTTGACGACTCCCACTCGCTCTCCTCATCGTCCTCTTCGCCTTGCTGGTGCTTGTCGCGCTTGCTGCTGGGGGAGGGCTGCTCATCATAGTCGCGGTTTTTGGTGAGTTTCCGGCTCTTCTTGGTGGCGGGCTTCTTGCTGGTGTTGGCGGGGTTGGTGGATCCGCCCCCCTTCTTGGAGGTGCTGCCGCCTCCGTAGGGGAGCGATAGCTTGAACCTCACGGCTGTATGTATCAATCAGACACACACAGTGTGTGGAGGGGAGGAGGGACGACACGTGTGCTCAGAAACACCTCCTTCCCTTTGGTCTCTGTTGTGTCTGGTGGCTGTGTTGTGGCTGTAGTGCTGACCTTCGTTGTATGCGTTCTGGACGGTGCCCCACTGCTTGAGCCCGAAGTACTTGACCTGCGTCTTCTTGCCGGCGCCGTCCCTGTTGACCTTGTAGGACACGGCCCACCGCTGACACTTCCTGTTCCAGCACACACCCTTGTGCTTCTTGATCCGCACCGCCTCGGCCGTCGCATCGTCCATCTCCTCTCCGTCCAGGCTTGACAGAGCTCGCTGACGACCGCCTCGACCTGATACCAACCAACACCAACACACGCATTCCAGTTGGTTTGTGTACATGTGGAGTGGATGCGACCAATTGCTCCTGGCGGTGCGTACCTCGTCTCTTGGCCGCCCCCTGGCGATGTCCCTTGCCCTTCCCTCGATGGCCTCCGTCGTCATCACTGTCGCTCTCAATCCGCTGCTTCCGCGGCTTGCTGGGCGGGGCATGCTCATGCTCTTGCTCGTCCTTGTCCTTGTCCTTCTTGGTATGGCTGTCATGACGGGGGCTGCCGACCGACGGATCATGGGACTGCCGGCTGCTGCCGGGCGGCGACGGGTGACGATCAGACTGCGCCCCTCCCCGTGGGGGCGATGGTCTGTGTTTGTCTGCGGTGTGAGGCGGGGGCACGGGACGGCGCTTGGAGGCGGCGACAGGCTTGCGTGGGATGGGGGCGGGAAACCGGTGGGCTGGTTGGGGATGGTCATTGGGAGAGGGCGTGGCCGGTCCCGACGCATGTGGTGTGCGTGGTGGCGGGATGGCGATGGGCGGGGGGTGAATCTTGGCTGCCATCCCTCCCTCTGGTGGCTCCACTGCAGCCCTGCCAGCTTCACGCTCGATCCGCACCGTCTGGTTGGACAGCGGACTGATGGTCTCGTCACAGTGAGGGGGCTCATTGGCAGCTGCTCGCGGGTGGTCGTTGGTCTGGCTCGCGAGCCGGAAGAGCCCTGACCCCTGTGGCTGCTCTTCCCCCCCTGCCGCTGCTGCTGCTGCTCCTGTGGTTCCCTCCAGTGGCGCATGGCTGCCGGCAGACGGCCCGGCACTCGTTTCCGCGTTGTTGGCAGGAGGATGGCTCGATCCACCAGATGGAGAAGGAACACTTGGCCCAGCTCCACCGGGACCTGGGGGCGCGCCGCCTCCACTGCCATCCCTGTCGCCTTTCCTCTTGGGTCCACCCTGGCTGCCAGGTGGGCCCGTCGCCATACGCGTCTTGCCCTTGTTGCGGTGCCGCTGGAGGCTGTCGAGCAGCCGCTTGAAGCCCTTCTCGACGCTCTCGCTCGGCTTGGAGGTGTTCTTGATGCTCTCGTACTGCATCTCCCACCGCTGCTTCTCACGGATCCACGTCACGCGACCCCTCCCCGCGTGCAGGACCTCCGCATGCTCGCGCGCCAGCCCCGCTGCGATCTCGTCGCTGTTGCTGATGCTGCTGGTGTTGCGATCTGGCGGGTGAAGCTGGCCCGCCCCTGCATCGTCAGAGCCGTTTGGCTGTGGCTGGGGTGGTGGGGGTCGGGGCAGCGGGTCCTTGCTGCTGTGGTTGTGGTCGGGAGCTGGTGTTGGTGGGGGTGGCCTTGCTGGCTTGGCGGTGTTCGGTGCGGCTGGTCTTGGCGAAGGTAGAGAGGGGCTCTGGCTGCGGGCTTTGGTGGGATGGTCCTTGTGGTGATGATGCTGAGGATGGTGCTCCCCCTCTACTCCGCCTCCGCCGCCCTGGTGCTGCTTCTTGAGTCGGGATTTCTCTGCCTTGTGCGGCTTCTCGGGGGGATGCGGGGCCTTGACGGCGTGGCCGCCACCCTTGTGCTGATGGTGCTGATGCTGTTGTTGCTGGGGTGGATGGAGGTGGTCCTTGGACCGGTCCATGTCTCCCTTCTGCCGATGTGCTGCTCGGTCCTTGTCGCCCTCCTTGCTGTCGTGCTTCTTCTTCTCCTTGTGGTTCGGGTGGTGTTTGTCGCCACCGTCATTAACCAGCTGAACACCCCCGTGTGTCCTCAGCGCGCCGAAGGGCGGCTTGGCATCACCGCCGGCCTTGCCCTTGCTTCCCTTGTCAACGGCATCGCTCCTCTGTCTGGCAGGGGAGAGGGTGGCGGATGGAGGGGAGGGAGACCCGTGCTGGTCGGATGACGCCTTCCTGCTCTCCTTGCTGTGGTGGCGGGCGTCGCGGGCCTTCTTCGGGACCGGCGAGCGCGCCTCGTGGCCATCTGATGGACGGATGGAACAAGGGGACACATACAGATTTTCCGACGTGTCACCTCTCAGAGTTTGACTTACCAGTGGCAGTAGAAGCAGCGTGAGGTGCCCCTGGCCGCTTGACTCCTCTCTTGTGTCCACCGCCAGCTGCTGCCGCTTCGTGGCTCGCGGCCTGCTGGTCTTCTCTCGTGCCATTCAGCAGGGAGGGCTTTGACGACGGGCGAGGGGGTGACGCGCCTGTGGCGGTGTCTCGACGGGCGACGGGGTGAGGGGGGCCCAGACGCTGGTGCAGCTCCGCTATCTGCTTGTTCTTCTCGGCGAGCTGGCGGCTCACTGACCAAACCATTACACACATACATCAGGGACGTTCCCGTGTGCTGCTTCTGCCCCAGCTTGCCCTCCTTGCTCACATTCATTGACTCGAGTGTCGTCCTGCCCCTTCCGCACCGCCGTCGGTGCTGGCGGGTCGCTGCCCCCCGGGGAGCGCATGGCGATGTCGACGCCCGTCTCCATCTGCCCTCGCAATGGGTGTGGGATCGACTCACACCACCCAGGTGCACACGTGACGCCACCAGCGGTGGTGGTGCAGTCGGTCGCCCGCACCACCCTCCGGATGGGCAGCCGGAGTGGCGAGTCGGGCTCGTCGTCTTCCTGCATGTCCGTTGGGTTTCTGTGGCTGTTGGCGGCAGCGGCAGCCCGCCTCTTTGGCCGAGGGGACCTGGAGGGGAGGGGAAGAGGAACACAATGGAATTCGTGAGAGTTTGGTTGCCCCCCATGCTTTGCTTACGCTTGGGGAGGGTGTGCGACGATCTTTCGGGCCTTCTCGTTGAGCACCTTCATCTGCGGAGAGCCCAACAGGCCGTCCGCACAATCCCCTGACACGAACACAGACAGACGAAGTTGCAATGCCAGTCACTCGGCCGTCCCTTCTCTCGTCGCGCCCACCTGTGGTAGGCTTTCGGATGGGCGAGATCCCATCGTATCGGCATGCGCGAAGGAGGCGGTACTCGGTGTGCTCGATCCGCATCGCCTGCAGGATTGCGCTGCGATAGCGGGCGAACCACGTTGGACCGAAGTCAGCAACGATCTCGTCCTGACGAACGAACAGGGCAGGCAGACACTCCTATGTGTGCTTGCATGGCTTGCGTCGTGTCGCGCCTCCCTCTGCGACTCACTCACATACTGACCAACCTGTGGGTGTATCGGTGTCCCAAGGATGTTTGTGAGCACCAAATGGGGCCAGCCGTCGACATACACCTGACACGCACACACACACACAGAGAGGGGAGCGGAAGCGTATGCGTCCATACATGTGACGTGCATTCGCGACTCTACTCACCCAATGCCATGCGGCGTTGCGTCTGAGAGGTTTCCCCCTGATGACCTCCACAGGCTGGTGGTGCGCGACGAATACCAGCTCGCTGCTCATCTGGCTGCAGTCCAGCAGCCAGTCCTCGTCACCGGGAACCGACCCTTCACAAAGACATCAGGAAGGAGATTGATTGACCAAGGCCTGGCCTGCCGGCACCTCACCTTTCTCGCCCTCCTCAGCAGTGCTCGGCGGCAGCGCATCGGCATCGAACTTCATGGCGAACACCGCCGCGGCCCCAAGCATGCCGTCGGGACGTGTGTAATACTCGGGCAGCCCCGCTGCAATCATCTGGTACTCGAGTGGAGGGCTCGACGACTGGTGATGGGCTGGGACGGGAGCAGCGGGGAAGGGACGACGCACTCGCCCAGTGAGGGCGCCCAAGACCACCACACGCTGATTGATGTGACAATGAAGCACGAAAGGAAGCACAACCAATGAGCGAGTGTGGACGTGTGTGTATGCTCATTGTTTCTCTCACCCTGACTGACCCTTACCCTTACCCTCGTGTCGATGGAGTCAGCCCCTTTGCTCAACCTCAGCGCAAAGCACCGCCTCTCCATGGGCAGACCCGCCCTGACGGGATGGCAGTGGTCCCCGATCTCGACCACCTCCAGCCCTTGGTGCACAGCGCCATGCAGCACCCTCTGCGCCACATCCCACCTCGCAACAGGACTGGCACTGCCCTGCTGCTGCTGCTGCTGCCCCTCATCTCGCAGACCAAGAGATGGCGCATAGATATATGGGCAAGTCAGCAGCAGGGAGGGCGGCCGACGGCGTGCACATATCGTCCTGAGGTCTGCTCGCGTGTTGGCTGCATCCGCGTCGAGATGCTGCTGGATTATGCGGTGGCGGTGGGTGGCCCTAAGTGCCTCCGACGCCGGCAGTGAACAAGAGAATTGCCTCTCATTCGACGGCCCGTCCATCAGGTGCGACCGGCAGCCGTTCGCCTAAGCGATGTCTCGTGTTGCTGCTGCCACGGCGATAATCAGCGGTGCTGCAAGGCCATCAGAACCACGCGGGCGAATCACACGTGGCGTCGGGAAGAGAGTGATCGTCTCGCAAGAAGCAGACTGCCGCTTCCACAAGCAACTTCGGCAGGTCGTCGGGGCGATGACAAATGGGATCTGGCGGCCTGCAACCTCCTGGGTAACCGCCGACGGCTGCAGACCTCTATGTTGATCGACTGGACACCTGCGGAATCGGCGATTTCACGATCCAGATCTTTCGGTCGCTGCTTCCAATTGCGTCGAATCAGATGGGGGAGGGAGATTAGATCTGCAGTGCGAGCTCAAACCTGCGAGCTTTGGTGCAATGGGACGTTTCGGGAATGCGTGATGACTCAGCGACCTCCTGCCAGCACATCCGAAGATAAGTCTGACGCCCGCCTACTTGTGGCGGTTTCGGAGGCGGCGGATGCTTAGGGGCTCTGCGCGTGCATCAGCGTCCATCTGGTGACCTGATCTACGGCCAGTTTTTGACCAAGCACCATGGTTCTTCCTCCTCACCCGCCAGACCGGCGTCCGCCTTCCCGCCCTCGCATGCCTCCCCGAGAGCCATCGAGAGGCGCCATTCACTCTCCCGATGCATCAAGACGGCCGCTTGGCGACCGAGGAGGGGGAGGACGTGTGCCGGAGAGGGACCGGTACAACTCTGCCGATCCGCCGCGGGGGAGGGAGAGGGATCCTCCGAGGGATCGGCAGCGTGAGAGGCCCATGCCGTCACACTCGTCGCCGGGACGCGGCCGACCCATTGTGCCGGCCATCAACCCACGAGCACCCCCTGGCACCGGCATGCGTCGCCCCCTGCCGCCGGCAAGACCCATAGACGACAGGGACAGGGAGAGGGACAGGGAGAGGGAGAGGGAAAGGGAGAGAGAACGGGAGAGGGAGCGGGAGCGAGAAAGGGAGAGGGAGAGGAGCCGGCCATCGGTGCCCAGCAGAGTGCCGCCGGGCGTGGCCACTCGGCCTGCTCGTGTGGGTGATGCGTCGGTGAGGGGTCCTCGTGCGGGCGAGGAGTCAATTAAGAAGAGTGCTGTGACGGCGACTGCGCCCGAGGAGAGTGACGAGCGGATCGAGGTCAAGACCAAGTGGGGGACGGTGACCGGTGACGGCAAGAACGACAAGAAGGAGGTCACGGGGGACCTCGACAATCCCAAATACATCATGAAAGTCGAGCGATACAAAAGGTAGGTGACAAGCAAGGAAGGAGAAAGAAGCGACCATTGAGTGAGCGGTGGCGATCTATCTATTTGTGTGTGTGTGTGTGTGTGTGAGTGCAGTTTCCTGACGCATGCCCCGGCTCGGCTGCTGGCGTGGGTGGTGGACTACGCCATCCACCGGCCGTCAGCGGAGGGCAAGGTGCTCATGGACAAGTGGAAGTCCTTCGTGGCCTCCAAGAAGATGTCTGTCGACCCCTACCACAAAGACCACGAAAATGCCAGGAGCCCTCTCCTCGTCTTCGCCAGCGCCACTATCAAACACGTCGGCCACTGACCTGACTGACCCCACTCGCTCGATCATGCCATAGAGGCCCATCCATCCCTGTTTCCTGTCTGTCCGTGTGTGTGTCAGGTGCTGCACCACAACCAGGTGGAGCGTCAGTTCCGCGACTACCTGGACCGCTACGCGCAGGACGGCTACCTCAACCACCAGGCAGTGGAGGACCGCAACCACCTGCGGCAGAAGGAACGGCAGATCGACGAGCAGAAGGAGCGCCAAGCCAAGAAGGCCGCCGTGACACCCTCACCGGCCAACGTCGGCAGGAAGCGCCCAGCTGCTGCTGCTACTGCAGAGGAGGAGAACCAGCCTGTGGGCAAGGCGAGGCGCGTCGGCGATGCGACCGGCCGGCGGGGGGCGCCTGTAACGGTGCACCTGATCGAGGACTACCTCAAGGAGCAGTTCCGCACCGAGCCGCGCCACCTGGTCAAGCAGCGGATCGAGCGCTACGCCGCCGACAGCCGGACGCGGCTGGACATCGGCACTGAGACGCTCGTCAAGGCCTTTCCATTCGAGGCGGCCATGGTGTCGTTTTTCGAGTTCGACCACATCCTTCGGATGCCTGGCGGACAGCAGGACAGGGCCGCAGGGAGGCCTGAGGAGTCGCCTGGCGAGCTGATGGTGCGGCTGCTCCTGAAGAAGGCGCACTGGTACGATGGGCTGGCCCCGCTCACTCGGGCGGCTGGCAGCGCCATGGACCGAGATATGATCCTCAAGAAGATTGACGGCCTCTGCGAGAGCTGGTGCATCACCCTTGACGCAGGTGACGACGCGGCACGGCCTGTGCACCTCTGACAGTGTGTGTACGATGTGTCCGTGTGCCATCCACGCAGGCGCCCGTTTTCTGCTGTCGTCAGTGAGTTACATCGACGCCACGACGGCCATCACGTCCCTAGAGCAGTGGCTCTACAAGCTCTCCTCGGCCTCATCCGTCCCGCTCCAGCAGCGTCACCCCGCAGACGCCAGCGCACAAGCGATAGTGCAGCTTGTCAAGAAGAGCGGCGCCAGCCTCGCTCCAATCACATGGGCCAACAAGGACCGAACCGCACAGCTGGGAGAGGGGGGCGGCAGGGGCAGCCCCTCTGGCGCCGTCAAGACAGAGCCGCTGGACGGGGCAGCAGCAGCAACAGACGGCAGAGGGGGAGAGGAGGTCGCGGCATCGGTGGCCGATGATCAGATGCTACCCATAAAGCAGGAGGGAGAGGAGAGAGAGGAGACAGAGGGAGAGGGCGGCCGCCCAGCGGCTAGTGCTGCTGCTGCTGCTGCCGCCGCTACTGACCAGGTGCAGCTGATGAATGGCACGGAAGATGACAACGACATAGATGAGGAAGAGGCGGAGGGCGAGGCGCAAGTCGGCCGGCAGATGACTGCTGACGACAGCGACGCCATGATGGCCGAGTCGCGGTGAGCGAGCACCCATCCACCGAACGCATCCTTCCACCAACGGACAGCAGCCTCGCCTGTGTCCGATTTGCCTGTGTGTGTGTGTGTTCAGTGTGCCCGAGGGCTCCAACGAAGACCAGGAGGACGTTGAAGATGACGAAGACTCAGCCAACGAGGATGACGACGAGGAGGACCCATCGAACGAGGACTCATCACGTAGCGCCGAGGGGCGAGATCTGGAGGAGGCCATGCCAGAGCAGTCATCGCGGGATGAGCCTTTACATGACGAAGACGACCTCGTGATGGGGGCCGAGGGGGAGGGAGAGGAGGCGTGATGGCTCGAGATAGAGGGAGGGGTTTCATGGCTGCGTTTAATTAATGCTGGGGGTGGCTAGTGGGTTGGCTAGGTGTGTGTCGATGGACGCTTGGCAGGGTTGTGTGTACGACTGACAGCGTTACTGCGTGAGATGCGTGTGGTGAAGATAGGGAGTCGATCTCAGGATTTCGAGTTTATCAAGCGCTACCGTCACGCACACGAACCACACACACATGGAGGTATGAAGTTGGGTCCCATCCGAACATCGTGTTCACGGCAGTTGCGCACCGACTCGACACACTGGTCCATTCCGTCAACCCAAAGACCTTCATCGCACTCGTAGTCGGTGGGCAGATGATGCACACATGTTCTCATTGTATGTGCATCTGTATGTCCATGTGTGTATGGGGTGGGGTCCTGCAGAGTCTGACCCATCACCGCCAGCGGCCGAGTCTGCTGCTGCTGCCGACGACCTGCTGCCCCAACTGACGTCAACCATCAGAAATGCCATAAGGTCCGTGAGGGGGTGGGTGCACTATTCCATGTGCATACCGGTCACCGCACTGTGCACATGTGTGCACAGGCGATATGCTGACGCCCTCGCTGATCGCAACTCTAGTGTGTCAGTGCTGCTGCTGCCGTACCTCCCGTCCGGGAGCTCGCGGACAGCGATGATCAAACTCATCCAATCCCAAATTGACAACCACAGAGGGTAAGCAGCCAATAGAAGGACTCTGCCTGCATCGAGCCAACACGACCATCCCTCGCGTTGAAATGTGTGTTGTTTCTGTCTTGTTTGTAGTTTCCCCCACTGTTTGGATGTGGCTGCCCCGAGCCGATCGTATTGTGTGTATGGTGGCATCGACAAGGAGGGCATCCTCCTCAGCCTCTCGCCGGCACTCAACATCCCGTCGCTGCACCTCTACATGACGCAAGCGATCGACGCCAAGTCGACACGTGACACGGTCCGAATAAGACGCACAGAGAAAGAGGGGAAGGGAAGGAGCCCTTGTTCGCCTGGTGTGTGTGGTCAGGCGAGTATGGAAGACGGAGGCTCACCGGCACTGGGTGGTGGAGCCCCGTCGGCGGTGTGGTGCGACGAGCTGGAGGTGGTGTCGGTCGACAGACTGAGAGAGGCCATTCGTAGCTACGTCAGAGTACAGGTATGCGCGCATGTGCGGTCGAAAGGGGCCCTGACATGAATGCCGCCCTGGTGTGTCGTGCTTCCCTCCAGCTGCAGTCGTTGCAAGGTGGGTCGGTTCATGAGTTTGACATCGGCCGGTGTGCCGAGGACCTTCGCATCATCTGGGCCTGGTCGGCATCGCAGCCCGAGTACCCATCCTTCCCGTCCCTGCTGCACTCTGGTCGAACGGTCGAGACGCGTCGGGAGCTCGACACCATCACACATGTCTACTTCCAATATCTGCACGACAAGGTGAGCAACAGGCAAGGGAGCGCCTTGTTCATGAGGCACGGATATCTATCGGTGTGTCGCCTTGGTGTTCAGTGTGTGAGTGGGTCGCCCTATCTGTTCGATCGCAACGGCCGTGCGAGTCCGAAGAACGTCGCCGATTTCGTCAACACCATCAGAACAGAGGTGCCGCCCGACCGACAGCCTTCGTTTCAGCAGCCCCGTGTCGCAGACAACAATACCCTGTCAGAGCAGAAAGGTACACGTGTGCACGTAAAGACACACAGGACTCATCGCGTCAACCATCGCCACACGATTGCCGCTGTGTTTGATTCATTGTCAGTGTCGTCCTACCTGGCGGGTCTGAGTGGCCTGCTGGCCTTCTACCACGGCGACAGGCCGCACTCCAGTGGCCTCTACGCCCACCACGATGCGCCCGATCTCGCCCGCGTTGCCCGTCGTCTCGACCGCATGGCTGGCCCAGCAGAGCTGCCCGCCACCGACAGCAGCTTCGATCTGCCGGCCATGGAGATGGTCGTGTCCCCTGCACACCAGCTCGCAGACAAGATCCGTCAGTGTGGGTCCGCCGGGGGCGGCGGAGACGACGATGTGATGATGGACAATAACAATGCAGAGGTAGGTTGCCATGCGAACAAAGGAGGCGTGTAGTGAAGAGACGAGGCCACACCTGTCATCTCTGCAGGATTGTATATCGCTGCGCATCGACTCGGATGGCCTGGGCGGGCAGATCAGGAGCCTCGACGACAACAGCCCATCCACTGCGAAGGGTCTCGCGTGTCGCCTCACAGCCCCCGCCGTCCATTCGTTACATCGCCTTCGCCCCTCCCTCGCCCCCTCATCTTGCCGGTCGTCCGTCGGCTCCCTCCCCATGCACGCACCTGGCGTCCTTCGCATGGTTGGGGCACCCGGCCTGTGGGACGAGCTCATCGGCATGATGCCCCCAGCCGGCCCTCTTTGACTTGCCCGCGTCTGCCGCACCATGTACGAGGCCGTTTATGGCGTCTTCACGGTTGTCAGCTTCACGCACCCCAACCAGGGCAAGCTCATCAAGATCAACCAGACCTTCGTCCACACGGCCGTCATCGTGGTGCCGCGCGAGATTCAGACCATCAAGGCGCAATTCATGGCCTTCTGCGTGCGCCGACTGGGTCTCTACGCGAGCCAGCTGACGGCCGTGGTCATCGTGGACCCCGTCAAGCGCCAGAAAAAGGGGAGCGGCGGTCCGGCTGTTCCGATTGCGCTTCCCCTGCTTCCGAGGGAGCCCTGGCATGGGCTGGTGATGGACCGCCTAGCGTCCCTGCACATCGAGAGTGCGGGCGGTCTGGCGGTATTCGAGCTTCTGCAGCTCAACTGCCCGGCCATGCGTCGGCTGACGGGACGGCTCGCCGACCCCGACACATATCGCAAGAAGAGGAGTGAGGAGCGGCGCTCGACGTACCTCAACAATGAGGGATGCATCCGTCTGGACGACAGCTTGGCGTCGTTCTGCCGCCGGCACACCCAGCTGACCCACATCGACATCTTCCCCCTCATCCCAAACCATCTCACGGCAACCCTCACTGCAATGCGGCGGCTGACCCGGCTGACCCATCTCGGCCACTTCCTGGTGCCGCTTACCAACTGCAGCACCTACGGCACGATGCACCACTACCAAAAGACGTGGCCCGAGTGCCGCAAGATCATGAGCCTGCTGAGCAGCATCGAGCAGCAGAAGTGGCACGACGATGACTCCAGACGGCAGGCCAAGAAAGACAAGGACGGCATGGCCGATGCCGACAGTGAGAGCGAGACGACGGGCGGTTCCCGCACCCTCGTCCTACACATCCCGATCGTGCTGGACCTCTCCCTGCCCTCCAAGATGACGGTCGCCAACGCGTCGGAGCCGGTGCCGCTGCGGCTCATGAGCGAGGCCGAGGAGTGGGGTTGGACGGTCGTGCGCAAGGGTGGTTGTGACGTCATCGACTGCACAGAGCATCCCAACAGCCCCCACTCAGCCATTCCCCACATGGAGAGGAAGGAGCGGTTCGAGGCGATGAACAAGATACCCCCGGCCCTTCTGCGCCATCTCCCAGGCGGCGACGAGGCCATGCTCCTCACACCCAGGACAAGCGGCAGGTCCCTGCTGAGTGAGCACCCGTCGCTGCGCTGCGTGCATTTCCCTGGCGCCAAGGTGCTGAGGGTGAAGGTGTATCGTGAGACGGACTATGTGGCGCTGCAGTCCATCCCGTCGTGCATCTGCGAGCCCAATGTGTTTGAGAACATCGAAGGTGCGACGAGCGAACAAGACACCGTTTATGTATGAGGCAGATGGATGCACTCTGGTCTGCAGAGGTTGTGTTTGAGAGCATGGATTTGGATGGCATCATGAACGGCTTCGTGGACGGCGTCTCGGACAGCTCCCCCCCTCCCTTCGACAACCATCTGTGTCGGCTCCTGCAGTCCCTTCCATCGGGCCTCAAGATCGACCTCAGTCCGGATATCGGCGGCATGATGCTCGAGTGTGTGGCCTACTACCAGGGAGGCGGCGACGATCGCAGGGTGGCAAGCGAGGTGGCGGCGGCCGGTTGTGGATTGAACAATAAAAGCCTCTCGGCTGTGACGGAGCTCAGCTCGGCCCACGGTCTCCTGCCCCCCCAGGCAGAGCGTCGCAACCGCTACCCCCGCATCGAGAAGCTGACGATCGACGCGGACTGCTGCCCGGACCTGGACGAGGTCGCGTGGCTGGTAGCAGAGTTGGGGCCCGACAAGGCCGTCGCTCCGTCGCTGTCGTGGTGCGACGACGGGGACATTATGGACGAGTATCGCTTCTCGGTACGTGTCGAAAGGCCTTGCATGCATTCGACAGTGCGCCTTTGTGTTTGACGCCGAGTGTGCTTTATCAAATCAGTGCCCGCCGACGATGCTGGACCTCCTGGTCAACGAGAGGTATCTTGACGGCTGTATGGTTGAGGAGGATGACTTTGGCGAGGGGGATGGGGATGAGGAGGAGTCGCGCGAGAAGTGGCTGTGGCGCGAGGGCGAGCCGCCACCAGCAGCATCGGAGTGGCGAAAGTGGTCGTTCCCTCGCCCCGACGGCTACACCACGAGTGTGGATTTGAGCGATCCTCACACGCCTAGCCTGACATTCACCAAGAGCAAGACACCGAAACTGGCCAAGAGACGCACCAAGTGAGTGAGGAAACATCGTGGGCACATGGGGGGGGGAGGTGAGGGGCGCGAGGGAATCGATGCGTTGCGTCTTGCGTGCAGGCAGCCATCGATCACCGCCTACTTCAAGATGACGCACTCTCTCAGCCGCATCGGCCGGCTCCCCCGCCTCGCCACGGACGACTCGAGCGGTACGGACTCAGAAGCAAAATGGGTGGAAGATACAGGTACACACGGACGGGGCACATGGCAATTACACCTAGTCGGCTGATATTTATGTGTGTCTGTCCTTTCGCTTAAGATGAAGTGTTTGTCTACTGTGCGGAGACAGGGCGGTCGAAGGGGCAGCCGCCCATTACCAAGTACCTATCGCAGACACAGCGCCGCCCTGCCACGACAGGTCAGTCGGGAAACAACGACCGCAGAGGGGCTCATCTCTCCCATTGCACATGCAGGCAAGGTTTGCCCCATCAGTGAGTATGTCGCCCAGCACCACCGACTTCAGACCCTCGAGCAGCAACAGAACCCCGTCAACGACGACACAGGTGGGTACGTCGACGCACCGCACCGCACCCGGAAAGCGATGTGGAGGGATGGACAGACACCCGTGTGTGTCGTGTGTATGCAGGCGTGGAGTTGTGTGTGCCTTTGTTGCCCCTGCCGGCTGGAGGCGAAGACGAGAGCATGATGACGCTGCTCAAGAGCTTCACGTGGAAGCCACGAGGGATGGAGGCCGACACAGTCAGTGGCTGAGACGGCGAAGGGGTCTGAGGCAGGCAGACAGGTAGCGTGTGGACGGGTAGATGGATGGATGTATGGATGTGCAGACGGATGGGGGGCCGCTATCCATCTCTGTATGTATGTCTTGATGTGTCTAGACACCGGCCGGTGTGTAGACACCGGCCGGTGTGTGTACAGCTCGTGAATATTGTCCATACGCTGGCAGCGAGAGCGCCAATATACGTCAGGCGTCAGCTGGCACGCCACACAACAGCGTAGCGGCATGAATGCTGCTTGATCGGCACGGTCCGTAAATGAAGCGGTCTGCTAGTCACAGAAGTTTCAGATCTAGTCAATTTAGGCATCCCTCTCCCAAAAAGCATGCTAACTCAGAGCTTCCACCCAAACACACCGCGCCACGCATCAGAGAGCCGCCCACCATCAGACAAACGAGCCAGCGCACGATGCGTGTCTGGTGGGTGGTCACTCAGAGGAGGCGGTCACTCAAAGCAGGCTTCAAGATCCCCTCGGCGTCTTGAATGCGCTTTGTGGTTGAGTTCTTGCCTCGCCACTCGTGTTGTCTCCGCCGCAGCTCGTCCCTCAGCTGACGGAATCTCCAGTCACGCAGCATCTGCGTGTCAAGGTGGTTGATGCCCCCTTGTTTCCTCCGCCCATCCGCTATGGCCGCTAGAGCCGACAGGACGACGCTCAGGCTGTAAGCATCTAGCTCCTTGCGGCCCATGAAAGAGGGCAGCAGGTCCATGCCGTCCTGCAGAGCAACCTGAGGGCGGAGTAGGTCGTCATAAAGCCACTTAAGGGCCACCCCAAGCGTCGACGGCATGAGGTCGAGCATAGACGAGAGCAGCTCGACGGCCTCGGGGTGCTGTCCCCGAATCGTCATCATGAGGATGGCTGCGATGAGACGGCTCGTCTCTGCTTCGCTGAACGACTCAATCTTGCCCCACAACCGACGGCACACCTCACGCATCACGTCACGGCAGCACTGGGCGTCGCGGATCTTCACACAGGCCTCCGCAATCTGCAGGAGGTCTCCATTCGGCGGCGGTGAATCGGGGCGGCTGAGGACTTCGATGACCTTGCTCGCCAAAGAGGTGAATTTGGGGTCAGATGACAGCTCCTCTCGGAAGTCCTCAGCCTTGAGGGGCTCTCCGCCGCCTCCTCCCCCCTTCTTGCAGATGCCAAGCAGGCAATTGCCCACAGCCGACCAGGCTGTCACAATTGCCATTGGCGAGAGCTCGCCGGCCGCAGGACTGAATGCTTCGTCCAGAATCTTCCTCAGAGCAGCGCCGCTGGGCAGTTCCCCGACCTCACTGAAGAACTTGGACACGCCGACAATGTAAGGCTGACTTCGCTCGGCGCTCAGCTTCTTCATGAGCCCGGTGCAGCCGAAAAGGGCCCTGGGGTCCGCGTGCTTGAGGTGCAGGATGACCGTAGCCAGCTGGGAGACCTCAGGCCCAGTGAAGCTATCGCCAGGCATCTTCAGCAAGCGGCTTACACAGGCATCGGTCAGTCGATCCCGGTAGAGGGAGAGGCGGTGCAGCCTTCTCAGAAGGCAGTGCAGACCAGAGATGGAGACGGTCTCTGTGTCAGAGCCAGCCATTCGCTCCCCGATCATCTGCGTGAGCATGCTATGCTTGTTCTCGACCAGGTCCTTGAATCGAAGCTCGGCATTCACGAGCAGCTTCTCCTGATACTTGGACACGAACTCCAGAGCCATAATGAGCGCCTCCAGTCCCAGCCGTGGCAACAGCTTCCTCGCATAGAGCTCGTACAGTAGCTGGCGTGCGGACATCAGTTGGGTATGGTCTGCCGACCTGACGAGTTCTGACAACCACTTGGCCAGGCTGCTGCTGAACTGCCGGCTGAGCGAAGATGCGAAGAAATCGTTTTTGCAGTACCTGGTCCGCAGGAAACGAACGAATAGCCCCTCCCGCAAGCAAGTCAGCCACTCTTCATCATCCATGCCCTCCAGCAGCGTCTTGCACGCTTCACCCACACGCGAGAGATACTCAGACTGGTCAGGGCTGCCCGATAGTCTACAGGGCGCTGTCATCAGCAGCGCGATGAGGCACCGGAAGCGACGCTGCACATCGCCTGCTGTGCCCTGCATCAGGTGCGTCATCGCTGTGTCCTGCATCACCCTCAGGGCAGCCCGCGCCTCGCCGCTGAGTGCATTGCACTGAGAGACGAAGGTTGGGTGAGAGACAATAAGCCAGAGGCGGTCGACCAACGCACTGCCATCCACCCCCACTGCAGACTGCTGGATGAGGTCGCTCACGGATGGCTGCTGTGCTGCGGTCGGCGCGGCTGCCTGCTGTGCTGGTGGTGTAGTAGTGGCCTGTGGCTGCTGCTGAGCCAGTGCGGCAGTGGTCTGTCGCACTGGGGTGTGCTCCGAAGTCGGAATCCATGACGCGATCCTCTGCTGCAGCTGATCGAGTTGACTGGCTGCAATCGTCTTGACGTCCATGTGCGCCCTCTGCAGGAGCAGCACGTCCAGCTGCCTCGCTCCCGTACGGGTGACTTGGTCACCGTCACACGATGTCACCAGATGCTCCTCTCTGTCCACCGCCAAGCCGATCGGCAGAGAACAGTCATCACGACTCGCCGCAATCTCGACCACAGCTACTGGAATCACTTTCGTGGAATCACCCTCTCCCTGGTGCTGATACTTCACCAGCGTGATCACTGGCTCCGAGCGCGTCGCCGTGAGCCTGTCGAAGGCCATCTTCGCTCTTGCTAGCATCGCCGACACCCCCTCATCACTCCTCTCGCGCTCAATGAAGCCTTCGATGTGCTCACGCACCCCATCGGCCCACTGCTCCAGGAAGGGGAGAAGCACAGCCTTGGCGTCCAGGGAATCGGGGTCCACGACGTGGCACAGAAGGACGGCGTACAGGTCGACGATCATCTGGGAGGAGACGTTGGCATCTCTCTGGGCATGCTGACAGGCTGCCACGAGCTGTTCATGACCCAGGGGCTTTTCAGACAGCGTCAGCAGCTGCAACAAGGCGATGGTGTCGTCCAGCGCTGCCTGCGGATTGTTGAGCTCCTTGAACGCGCACTCGACCAGAGGCGCTGCCGCTGGCTCGCCAGCCTCGAAGCATGCACGAGCAATGGACGCCCGAGCGGCCGTGGAGCCGGCCAGGACAGTCACACGCTCACAAAGGGCACGAAGCAATGACCGATGCGCTGACAGTGCTGTCTTGTCACCGCCAGGAAGAGCGCGCCGTCTCGCAGCCAACTTGACGAGAATCTTGACATGTTCGTCGCTGACGGGCTGCGGCTGCACGAGTACGAGGTCACGCAGCAGCTCCACTATCCCATCCAAAGAGGTGTGGTCTTCGATGTCATCAATGAAGGGATTAAGCAGGCGCAGAAACGTCGACAGAAGCTGCCTCGCCCCCTCGGTGTCCAGGGCCTTGAGACCGCGAGCACGGAACTCCCTGCCCAAGGCACCCGCCGTGGCTTCATGCAAGGCCGTCCACTGGGACTTCTCGAAGACGCCGGCAAGTGCGTCAGCCATCTTCAGCAGCTGTGTGTCTCTCAGCTGTATCACCACATCCATTCTCGCCACAACAAGCTCCACGACCGAATTGGCTTCTTTATGCTCGGCATCCTGCTTGAGCAAATCGTCAAGCGCCACGTCGATGCACCAGGTCAAATGGTAGAGATCCTTTGCCGCAAAGTCGCCCACCCCCCCTCTCTTGAGCGCTTGCAGACACACAGTGAAAAGCGAGGCCAGCTCATTCGTGTCCACCGCCTTTGCCTTCACAGCACCGCTGTCTCGCAGCCTCGGCAGTGACGCAGCAGCCCACATGGCTGAGACCAGATCGAAGGGCTGGAGGGCCTCTCCCTGACTGACGCGTGCGTTGACGTCTGCGACTAGCCACTGGAAGCGTCGATCGGCGAGCAGCTGGGCCACGTTGTCACGGGGGGCCCTCGAGGAATCAAGCGGGGAAACTTTGACGACAGGTGGCGTGTACCTCTTCACCGCTTCCTGAGTGCCCTTGACAACCCGGACACAGCACTTGATCGCCGCACACAGCACTGGTACGGTAGTGCAGGCGGCCCTGAGGCGCTGCGAGAGGTCGAGCAAGCGGTCCACAAGCTCCGGAAGGAGCGCTCCCTCGTCCGGCTGCGTGACGCTGTTCTTCTTCTCTTCGATGATGGCGTCGTGGCTCAGCAGGGATATGCCAGCAATGACCCCTCGCGTCGCTGCCTCTTGGCTGACGTCAGAGAGGCGTGAGAGACACGACAAGAAGATGTGTCTGTCAGAGCGACCGACAGCAAGGGTGTAGGCCGTGGCGAGGTGCTCCACATCGGTCACATCCAGTGCGGCATTGGCTGTCTCACTGCTCTTGAGGGCATTTATGACGACTTTGGACGCCTCCGTCAAGAGGCCGACAGTGCTGGCAGAGGCCATGAGGGGGTCCACCACAGCTGCTGCGTACACCATTTTGGTCACGACACCGATCGACGACAATGAATCCCTCACAAGGGGCTTGACACGATCAACAGCGGCTTCCAGCATCGAGAGATAACGACTATCTTGAGGCAGTGGTGCAGCTGCTGGGTCGCGAGGCCGCTGCGATGGCGTGGTTGATCCTGATAGAGCCCGAGAGCGTGGCTGAGAGCGGCTGCGCCTGAGACCTCTGCTGCGGCAGGTAGATGCAATGGACTGGAGGGCCGAGGCCATCGTGGCCGCACTACTCCTCCTGCCGATCGTTGCAAGCGCGTCCAACAGCTGGTCGGGGTCGGGACGGCCGCGCGACGCTGCAGGCTGCTCCTCGTACTTGAGTGCAGCAGCAGCTGCCGCTGCAGGTGCAGTCCCTCCTTCTCCGTCCGGTTGGTGTTGTGTGCCGGAATCAGCCGCAGCCGCATTGTCCCCCGTCTTGTCCGATGGCTGCATGTGAACATCTGACGGGCTCTCCTCCTTCCATCTCTCGAAAGCCTGCAGCCTGCTCTCGACCCTCCTGTCGATGGCTGACGTCCACTTGGCCGCCACGGCTCTGTCGACACCCGAACTCGATACGACGTCATCCAGCAGGGCGACGTCGGAGTCACTCAGCTGATCGATCAAGGCGCTTCCTTCGAGCTGCTCGACACACAGGCCGATGACCTCATCCTCGCCGAGGTTCTGTGCAGCAACAGCCAGCTGGAGCAACTCAGCTGCTGTCACGCTGGAGGGCTCCGCCTGCATGGCGTCAGCGGCCACGCTCTCAGGGGGCGTGCTGAAGTGGTCAGGGGGAGGGCGGCCGCTCGCAGGGATCGGAATGTGCTGGAGGAGTTTGATCGTGAAGCGTCGCAGATCCACCTTGTAAGCGTCGTCTCGTTTCAGAGCTGCTGTGAGCTCGTCGCCAGCCCTCCCATCCTTGTCGCCCAAGCGCCGAACAACATCAGCCAAAGCGCCCCAGGCAAGCAGGGCGTGGCGGCAGGTGAAGGCGGCGTTCTGGACGTAACTCCCGACTGTGTCGAGAATGCCCTTTGCGGCACTGTTTTCGTACTTCTTTTTCCGCTGAGTCTCGATGAGTGCCGCAATATGCTCAGGACTCACAGTATTATTCTCCCGATGTGGCCCTGGCCGCCTGCTCCCAGCGGCGCCGGCGCTCCCCACGCCAGAACCAGCTGAACGAGCGTCACCCACACCGCCATCACCCTTCCGCTGGGCCTTCCTCTCCGGCTCCACGCTGTCCAAGGCATCCACGTCAATGGCCGACCCATTATGACTCACCGAAACTGCTTCCCCGCCTTGTGCAGCTGATGTCAGCCCATTCTGCACAGGTTGCTGATCTCGTGGCCGTTTCGTCCTGCTGGCTGCTGCGGCAGCCGAGGGGGCTGGTGGTGCAGCGGCTATCGGCTCAGCTGCTCTAGGTGCCGGCTGCCCGCCGGCATTGCCCGCCGGTGCTGCACGGGCACCAGCAGCGGCGGCAGTGGGGTTGGCGGGGCGGCGAGGTGCTCGCGCGGGAGGGGGCGAAGGGAACTGGGAACCAAACCCGTCTTCAATATGCATCTACACATCCATCCACAAGAGAGACAATGTGAGCCTCCGCACATACGCGCATCCTCATGGCTGTGTCAGCTGCCTTACGTCGTCTCGTCTTGCCCTTCGAAGGTCCCCTCTCTCCCGGCTCGGCCGGCAATCTCTGTCTCCTCTCCGGTAGCGTGCCCGCCGCTCCTCAGAGCTGCCACGTTGGTCATTGCTGGCCGGTCTCAAATGCCTCTCGCGTCTCGGGGACGCTGGTCTGCGCCTCAGAGGGCTGCGGGATGGACGGGATCTGCGCCTGAGGGGGCTGCGGCTGCTGGGCGAGCGCCTCCGGTCATTGACACCGTTCGGGAGACGATCGCTGTCATTGGGGGAGGGGTATCTCGCCGACGAGTTGCTGTCGTCTCTCACAGCCCTGGCGGGGACAAGGGATGGGGGCGTTCTTCGAATGACACAGTCGAGCTCCATCCGTCGGGGTATGTCCTCCTCTCGCCGCGAGTAATACTGCGGGTGAGGATAGGCTGCCACGCCGTTGGGCTGATTGTGTCGGTTTGGGTTGGGAAGCAGGGTCAGACGGCTATGGTCGGGGGGCAGAGTGGGGGAGGGGCTCATCCGGGGACGGAGAGAGACTGGTGGACAACCAGGAGACGCGTCATCTGCACACAAACAACACAAGGAAGGGTGACTCAGAAAAAACGCACCTGAAGAGATGCTCTACTCTTCTATCGCTCCTTACTTTCGAGGAAAACCATTCTCCTCCTCGGCCCGGCCCCAGGCACCCGCCCATCTCCGTCATACAGCGGCGGCTCATGCGCATCGCCGTTCATCATCTCTCTTAGCCGCGCATCGTTCATCGCGTCGACCTCCAGCCGACGCCTGTCGAGGTCGGATAACGCCGGGTCGTCCGCATTCAAGCAGTCCTCCTGGTGACCATTCATGGGCGGAATGCCGATGGGTGGAGGTCTCGGGCGGCGTCCACGCTTGCCTCGTCTGCCGCCACGTGGCCTGGGCCCGGCCGGGGGTGCTGGGCGGGGCGGGCGAGAGAGACGTGAGCGAAGGTCGGCGTCGACAGACGGGAAACGGGGCCGACGGTCAGCTTGAGACATGATTAGTCAGTCAACCGAACCAAAACCGCCACCTGCAACACTCAAGCAGAAACAATACACATGTCCGCGTGTGTATGCTCTGCTGTTGCATGCAACCCCTGGTCCCTCCCTGCTCACCGACACATGCCATGCCACCGTCGGGCAAAGCCCTCGCAGAGTAAAGGGAAAACCTCCGTAGAGCTTCACTTGAACCAATAGGCAAATCAAGCGAATGAAACAGCGTCAGACGGAGCACGCGTCCACGCGCTCAGCATCCGGTATCCGTCCCTTCCTGTTGACTCCACTCCGTCGACAACCGAGTCAGCTGGTAGTGAAGCAACTGAAGCAAGTCAAGCGAAAGGTGAATCACGATATCATTCGTCCGAAATGATTGCTGTTCGGGAGGGAACAGGAAGCATGGAGGAAAGGCTCCGATTCTTGCAAAATTTGCGAGCTTGGTAAAGAGAGAGCGGTTTCACGAGATGTCCTAAGCGACCCGAAGCCTGTTTGAAATAGGTTTTCCTTCTGTTTGTGTTGCGGTAACGCCATGGCGCACTGGGACCCCGCAGATCAGGGCAAGAAGGTCTATATCGGTGAGTCACCCACTCACAAGGAGCCGAGCAGCTACCGTAACGTTCACGAATGCTCTGGTGTCCATCAGGCAATCTGTCGGAGAAGGCCACTGCTCGAGACATTGAGGAGATGTTCGCCGGATGCGGTGAGAGATGCGACACCTGGGGACAAGACTTAATGAATGATGGATGCTGCTCGGCATGGCATGTCTTGATTCAGGTCAAATCCGCTCGACGTGGGTGGCTCGGAATCCTCCTGGCTTCGCCTTTGTGGTAAGGTCACAGGCGATGCACCTCTTCCATGGTGCAGCGACAGATCATCGTGCTGAGTGAAGCTCTCCGTTCCCGTCCCATTTTTGGCTGATGATGAGTGCGTCACGTCACTTCTTCGTTCTTCACTTCGCTTCACTTCACGTCATTCTGTCGATTCTTCTCTGCACATCTTGGCATCTTCATCGGCTGTGAATGAAAAGCCTCGCCGCTCCGCAGCGCACTCAGTGTACTCAACAAGAGGCAGACAGACAGACAGACAGGGGGGATGTGGCAAGTAGCAGCTTGCCGTTCGATGCGTGTCGTGACTGTGAAGTGGCTGCTACCGCTTGCACGATGGAAGATCGGCCCTTTCTGCGCTTAATCATTTCTCTCTTTGCTCTGTCTGTCTGTTGTGTGCGTGTGTTGTGTTCAGACGTTTGAAGACAAGCGGGATGCGGCTGACTCGGTCAAGCAGTTCGACGGCACCTCATACATGGGCAAAAGGTGAGGGAACCAACGCCACGATCCATCCCTTCACATGGGCAGCAATGCATTGGATGGCGTGCATGTATGCTTCTCAGCATCCGTGTAGAGCTGGCTCGCGGGCCTCGCAGAGGGGCGAACGAGGACCGAGGGGGAGGAGCGCCGAGAGACTATGAGAGGGGGGGAAGGTATAAACACGCACGAAGCCAAAGCAGACCGCTCATGAACTGCCCTTTTGCTCCCTCTGGCTCAGGCGTGATCGCGACCATGACAGGAACGACCGTGGTGGTGGTGGTGGCGGCCGTGAGCGCCGCAGCCCCTCGTACCGCAACGAGCGCCGCAGCCCCTCCTACAGCCCCTACAACAGGCGGGGGAGGCGACGCAACGACAACGAAGAGGATGAGTCTGAGTACGACAGACGCAAGCGCAGAGACCGGTGAGCGGGCAAACAGGCAGCCAGATGCGGCATAGGTGGGCATTCCTGGTCGGCCATTCTTGTCTTGGTGTGGCTTCATTTGTAGCTCCCGTTCGCATGAGCGAGATCGCGATGATTTCGACAGGGGCCGAGGAGGGTATGAGGACAGAGATCGAGGCTATGACGACCGAGACCGAGAGTGAGCACAACGCACACACGCACACAGATGGCGTGTAGATCGCCAGGGTGCGGTGCTTGATTGAATGATTTGTTGTGTGTGACTTCACTGATGTGCAGCCGTGGCCGCACTGATGACCGATACGATCGCCGCTAAGCGATGCGATGCGATGTCGATGGCGTGCTACGCTATGTGCGTGTGTTTGAATGCATGTTGCGTGAAGACGGCTTACTTTGATATCTTTTTTACCTCTGGCTCCCCGGCGGGCGGGAATGGAGGTCTGAGATGCGCCTGCTGGGTGCTCGGCGATAAAAGAGCGGCTGCCGACCTTTTGTCTGGGGGTTTCTCGTCCTTGGCCTACACAAGACCACATCAGACAGACAAAAGCTGATACGAACTGATGCTTAGACGAACTTTGTCGCCCGTTTCATGTAACGACAAAAGCTTACCGTCTCTTCTATACCGCAAAAAGAGGGCAGACACCACCATATCATACCTACCTTTCTCGTTCCTCCACAGAGGAACTCATTCATTTGCCGCGGCTCCCTCGGGCAATGACACCGTGCCGCGGGAGCAGGTGCGCTGGGGAGGTTGAGAGGGGCTGAGGCGAGCCGCCAAAAGATGGTGAGATAAAGAAGATGTGGCGAAGGAAAGGCAGCAGAGCTGAAAATGCCCGCGCACTGCCTCGAACCGCTGCAAGAACTGCTGAAGAAAAGGGGCTGGTCGTCTCCCGTCTCCCGTCGAGAAATCTCGCCTCGAAGTCTTTTCCGCCGTTTCCCGTGCCTTCTGCTCCTTCTGTTTCTTGCTATGGCCCTCTCCGGACTGAAATGTGAGCGCGACGGAAAAACGAAGGCGATCGTGCATTGCCGTTGGAACAAACGGCCGAGGGCGGGGCCCAGTTAACTTTAAGGGGGGCAAGGCGATGCAGGGTCTGCTGGCCGCACTCGCTGTGGTGGCGTTGGCAGCCACGAATGCCGAAGCCCAGACGTGCAGCCTCTCATCTGCGGCCTGCAGCTGCTCATCCGGGATACTCTGCAGCGGTGAGCGGGCAAAGACAGCATACTCTAGAGGATTTGCAGTACCACACGTGTTTGTCTGGTCCGCCCGTCGGCCTCTCTCTCTGTGTGTCAGGGGTCAGCACCTACTGCTCCATTACTGCCAGGTGTATCGCCTCCACGTGTCAGCTGTGCAACAGCACCGAGCCCGTCCTCCCGGACCCGCCGCAGGAAGAGCCAATAAAGCCTCTCCCACCAGACGACAACGACACAGTAATAGAGCCACCAGCCAACGACACCGAGCCAGTCATAGAACCGGTGCAGCCCGGCAACGACACGCTGCCCTCACCTGGCAACGACACACTGCCAGGGAATGACACACTCCCTGGCAATGACACCCTGCCGCGCGACAATGACACGCTGCCGGAGCCGCCCAAGCCGATTGTTCCCGCACCTGCGCCTGTCCCTGTGGTGCCCGTCATCCGACCGCCCGTCGTGCCGCCGCCTGTTGTCCGACCTCCCATCGTGCCGGTCCGCCCCCCACCCCCCCGGTGTCTGCCGACTGGCTCCACATGCAGATATCTCAGCGACTGCTGCAACAGGGAGTGCAAGTGGAGAATCACCGGCACTTTCATATGCGGTACGTGAACAACACAGCACACTCACAGACACCAGGTGTGTGTGTGCTGTGGTGATGTGATGCGTGCAGTGGGTCGGAATCCCCTCCCCGGTGACGACAGTCCCGTTTTCGGCCCGCCGCTCATCGGCGGCAGGGACGACGACTCACGCATACCCATTGGCGGCGGGGGTCGCATCCGACCCCCCAGATCAGGCAGAGACATCATCTTCGGAGGAGGTTGGCGAGGGCGTGGTGGAAGGAACATCGTTGGCAGGACCTCTCCCTTTGATGGGCGGGATCGGAGGCGGCGGCGCCTTTGGGCAGAGGAGGACGAAAGTGACACTAAGGATGTGGTACTGACTGACTCGTGCTTGCTGCCGCCTGGGGGCAGCTGCGACATGGTGGAGGGCGCCGCCACTAACTACACCATCGTGGATGAGCCCTCGTGCCCAGATCGAGTGGGGTGTATCCCCAACTATTGCTGCAGATATGTGATTGATCCTTTGGAATTGCGATTTTTGGCCAACAGGGAGGCCTCACACGCAGCTCATTGACAGACAGGAGGAAGGCAGGCACACAGACAGATGGGCATGATTGGTGAGATGAGAATCGCAGATGTGGGCATCCATGTAAGCACGTGATTATGTGGGCTGGCGTGGCGGGGGCCAGGCAGCGAGGCGGGGAAAGTCTTTGCTAAGTGGCTCAGCGTCTTTTTCAAGCCGTTTCATGTGCTGATGCACACTCAGTATGTATGTATCAATCGCAGGTGTGAGAGACATCGCATGCGACACTGTTCTAGTGGGTGGGTGGGTGGGTGGAAGAAAAGGAAGGCCTTCCAGCAGGGTTTTGATGGGCCTCCCTGCCTTGGATGTGTTGATTGATGCTATCTATCGCAAATTGCAAATTGCGTGTGTGGTGTCTGCGTGAGTGTATCTAAACAAACAATGTCGTGGTGTCCATGCCATGATGCCATGCCATGGCATGGCCATGTCTATGCCGTGCCGGCAAGTCTTATGCGACGCTTTGGTGTCCGCCCAGTCCACTGGGCGGTCTGTCTGTCGTAGCTAGCTACGTGTGTGTACATATATATTACTCGGATGCGAGACACTCAATCAGTGCGGGTGAAATGGGCACATCAACCACACACGCGCGAGTCGTAATCACGCCACGCAGCAAAGGAGGACTCGGTCCAAAACACCAACCAGAGAAGCAATCAGCAGGTCATCTCTTCTTCGTTGACGACAAGGGCCTGATCTCGTGCGTCTCCCTGAACGTCGCCAACGCAGCAGAGCCCTCCGCCTGACAAACCAGCCGCCCACAGTCGGCCAAACATGCACACACGTCGATGACCCCGATGCATTTGCTCACCAGTATATGGAACACGGGCATTTTGGGGACTCTGCCGGCCTTGGTGAGGACGTTGAACAAAGTGAGGGATGGCGACACCTCCAGCAGGACATCACGACTGCCCCCGTCATCTGAGCCCGGCTCGTAGAAGACGGAGAGAGCGTCGACGGCGTACCTATGCTGCTCGTCCCACTGTGTGAACCGGTCGCCGGGAAACATCACCTGACATTGACAGATGGGTAACAGGGGGAGAGGTTTGCCGTCGCGGTGTGGTGTGGTCTGCATCTCTGTTTCTGTGTCGGTGTGTGTACCTCGAGATGCTCTCTCAGTGTTTGGTCCTCTCTGATATCAATGACGAAGTCACTCTGACCATACTCGTCATAGCTGAATGAAGACTTACACGAGAGAGCTGAGGGGAGTGTCATGTCCTCTCTCTCTGTGTGCGTGGGCGTACACACAGGAATAGTGCCGGCCAGTGGAGTCGTCCCTCATCATCAAGCCGCACCTTCATCTGATGGATGAATGCCACACACATGCATGACAGATGAGATGCAGACCGCCATCCATTGCCTGCCAGCCACGCGTTGACCTCTGCAGGGTACGCCATGTCATAGAGGAGCGGTCCCACACGGATGCCCCTGGCCTTGATGGCCTCATCCACCAGCCCACTGTGCACCTCCCTCTGCGCCGCGTCCTCTCTCTCCTTTCGCCTTTCCTCTTCTCGCTTCTGCCGCAGTGCCGACCACTTCTGCTCGATGTCTTGTCGCAGCTTGGCCAGGTCAGCCGTCTTGTCCGGGTCGGAGGATGAGTTGGCGTTGAAGCCCTGTGTGCAGAACTGGATGGCCTGCTCGAAGAGATGCAGATAGTATGAAGCCTTGGCGGCTCGGAAGTAGCTGCATGGAAACGGGAAAGGGAAGGAAGGAGTGAGAGTGGATAGGATAGCTCATCTCATCCATCAATGTATGTCGCGATGAGTGAGTGGGATGTGAGTGGGATGTGTGTGTGTGTGTGTCTTACGCCTTGACGTTTGTGGGGTCCAGCTCGATGGCCTTCCGCGCATCGTCAACACACTCCACATGCTCATCTGATCACACACGCAAACATCATTACAGACACGATGACACTCCACAATCAAGGCGGCTGCTCTCTACCAAGCTTGAGTCGTATCATGGCCCTGTTGGAGTACAGCTGCGAATTGACCGTGTTGTCGGAGCTGCCTGCCTCGATGCCCTTAGTATAGTGGGCGATGGCGTCGCGCCAGTGGGCCTTGCCGTCCTGGTGACACTCATTGCCCATCTTCTGCACGCGGGGAGGGAGAGAACACGCACATGCACTCGTTGTCGCATTCTTCCGATTGTTCTGACCTTGAAGTGGACGGCGAGTGACTCTGGCGTTTCATTCTCGTAGATGAGCTGCTGGATGGCCTGCAGCTGCGGATAGTCAGTGAGGTCTCGCGGCGCCTCGGGCATGAACAGGGGATGTTCCGCACTGCCATACTTGGCCTTGAGCTGCTCCAGCTGCTCCGGGGTGACCTCCCAGTCGTCGTCATCCAGGTGGCTCAGATCTGCCTGCAGATCCTGACACACACAACACTCACGCACAAGGCGGCAGACAGATCGGCGATGCGTTTTCATTCATGCCTTCATCCGCATACCTCGAGAGTTGCCTCGACGGTCACAGGCGCGTCGGCGTTGTTGGTTTCTGCCATTGTCCGGCAGCGGTTTCAGGAGGCACCCTAGGCCTGCACTGCGAGCTTAGAGTGCGGATGCCGATCTTGGATAGGTAATGTGAGCCTTTCTGTCACTTTCTTCGATGAATGGAATCAATATATTGAATGGAATGATCTCTGTGTCATTTTGTCAACGTACTGCAGCGCTCCTGAGGCCATCTGAGGCTGCCGAATTCCTTCGCAATGTCGCCCATCAAGAGGGCGCTGAGGTGGTTCAACCTCTCGCAGACCATCAGCACTCGTTCGCAGAGGGAAGATCACTTCGCGCATCTGAAGCCCAGTGAGTATAACATTCTGTACAACAATCCCAGGGTCAGGAGGGCCGTAGACGGCGCGACGAGGTCAGAGATCAGCGGGGCAGCCCGTTTTGCACTGTGGGTGTAATGATTCGTTCCTGTGTGCGCGTGGTGATGTGTGCAGGTTGAAGCAGGCGTTTCGTGATCCGGATTTCCAGGTGAAGATCATCAACAAGCTGTGGGACGTGTCACCGACCAGATGGCTGGCCAAGGTCTGTCTGCAGTGAGTGACAGAAGATCGCTTGTTTCAATCCCGTATTTGCTTATGAGTTCTGCAAATTCTGTCCTGCGTGTGTTGTGTTTGTGGTTCAGTCGTCGTGGTGGCTGCTGCTCACCCTTGTCATCGCCATAGCAGCGGCATTCTCGATCACATTCGCTCTCGTCATCATGGCCAGATCAGAAGTGCGTACGCTTGAGAAAAGGCCACGGACGGCCAGGTAGCCAAGACAGCTACCTCTCTGTCTGTTGGTCAGTCGTTTTATGGCTTTGACGACGACTTGATTGATGTGCAGCACGACCCCTTCCTCCGGGCATTCGCCATATCGCTGGCCAATTTCATGGGCATCAACTATCCTGGAGGTAGGTGGGCCAGATGGCGGATGCACACAGCATGCCGATAGGCACATCACATGAGCAGTGAGTGTGTGGAATGTAATTAATGGGTACCTATGTAGGTCCTCGTGATCCCACCGGCACCATCATTCTGGCCATACAGGTGCGGTGCGGTGCGCTGGGCTGGGCTGGGCTGGGCTGGGCGGCTGGGGAGCGTATATGTTGCAATGCATCCACGTCCATGTTATGTTGGCTTTATGTCCTGTCACTCAGTCGTTTTTTTCGAAGCTGTTGGTCGTCTTGGGGACTGGCCTGGTGTTGATGAAGTTCTCTCGGCCTCGGTCGCACATCTGTTTCAGCGACCGCATGACCGTCTACGAACACCACAGGGAGAAAGGCCAGATATGGGCGAAATTCAGGGTCGCCCCGTCCGCCGATCAGGTCACTCACCTGCGCAAGCAGCCAGATCGGCCACCCGCATCCCCTCCGATTGCCTGCTTCGTGTGGTGTGGTGTGTGTGTGTAGTTGTTGGGCAGTGTTGCCTTCAAAGTCTCAGTCGAGATGACTGAACGGACGTCTACGGGCGAGTGGGAATGTCAGTTCAAGGAGGTCAGCCTTGATTTCTCCCCAACGGTCGTCATGATGATCACCAATGTCCGGGTACACCTCAACGCGCCAAGTGAGCGAGCGTAGGCCTGCAAAGCGACACACGCAGACGTGAATCCATTGACACTTTGGTTCCCGTGTTCCTGCAGACAATCCTTTCGCCGGCATGAACATGGAGCAGATCAAAGAGCGGCTCGATTCTGTCAGTGTCTGGGTGTCGGGCTTCGATGTAAGCGGCTAGAGAGACTGACCATCCACACGAGTGATGGGTGGATGGTCGGATGGATGGATGGATGCTGCCGTGTGTGTTCAGGACGTTAATGGTCGTATGGTGACGGCACTAGAGTCGTGGGAAGGTGAGAAGATCATGTGGGAGGCCGTCTTTGACGACTACTTTTATGTCGACCCAAGTATGAAATGCCGCAACCCACCCCACCCCACGCACCCACTCACGCACCACAGCCACACACACAGACGCACACCGACAGGGCAGAGACAGACCCACACGAATGCGTTATCTGGTGTGTGTCTGCGCATTTATCATGCAGACGAGCCCAACAAGCAGAAGCCCACCCAGTTTGTCTGCAATTGGGCGCGGATCAACACGGTCATCCGACCCAAGCAACAGCCGGCGTCCACAGACGAGCCGAGCACAGCCGACGCGTCCATTTCCGACAGGCCAACAATGCATCGATCGGTGTCTGTCGGCGATGATGAGGTGCAAAGGGCCGCCACTCCAACGGAGGGAGGTGGGAGGGGCTTTTCGCGGCGGTCTAAGCGATCAAGGACACTGCACTTGAGTGAGGGCGTGGGGGAGGTGGTGACAGTAGTGGAAGGAATAAGGCGAGAGAGACATGCAGATGGGTAGATGCGTTTTTTCGACGCAATGCATGCATGGAACTTGTGTGGTGTATGGGGTGGGGGTCAGCCATTTAGGTGAGAGTGAGAGTCGTAGGTATTGATTGTAAACACCCTGACATACCACCGTGCATGTGACTGACGTGTGTGAGATGTATAGACAGACTGAGTGCAATCAATGAGATTCCTTTCATTTACTGCGCTGCAGGTCTGTCTCTCCCATCCAGATACATAGAAACGTATAACTACATACATACATACCTGTCTCTCCCGCCCACCCACCAGAAGGCCGGCAAAACCGAAAACAGCACATCATCGATCGGATCCTTTCCTTCTTGCCGGATCAGCCTGGCCAGGCAGCCACAGGTTTGCCCTTAGGTAACTTACAAGTGTGCTGTGCGTGTATGCGAGTTCAAAAAAGTTCAATAAATACCCAGTGTGTGTTTCAGAAGGGGGGGAATCGGGGGTCTTGGCAGCTCATCTCTGTGTACCTGACACAAGAACCAGCAGATCAATCCATGAGTGAACTGATGCATGCGGTGCGTGTGGTGTCAACTCTAAGACACCCCTCACCACGGGCCCATCAATCCCTGCACGGTGCAGCGTCCTTGCTTGAGTGTCCCCTTGTAAGGTGGCAGCTGGGCGAGTAACAACACCAACGATACATACAATGGGCGCGTGCTGTAATGTGACACTGTCGATATATACCAATCTGGGCACCATCACGACGCTCCCAGGGCACTCTCTGGCGTAGTAGACGCAGCACTGGGTGTCCTCGTCGTAGCTCATACCGTAGGGGCTCACACTTGTGAAAGGTGATTCTGCCAGCGCACACCTCGTTGACGAAAGTGCCGGCCTGATTGCGCACGTAGCAGTCTGCACACACAGATGGGATGAATTTGCATCTGCATCTGTGGACAAAAGCTCGATAGAAGGCTAACAAAGCTGAGAGTAGTCCGTAAGCTCGTCAATGAGGGGCTGGTTAAGCTCGTCATCCTCAAATTCGGCCTGAAGCTGCCTGTCCAGAAATGAGGCCTCTCCACCTGACGGAGAATACACAGATGGGGAGGAGAGCAGACGATGGCCGTGCGGGTCGTGCCATGGAGGGATCTTTCACCGCTGTGTTTCGTGAGGCCGTCGATGATGGGCGCGAAGTGGGCCCTGTCGATGTGGGCTTCGCTGATGTGGATAAAGGGAACGATGAGAGGGAGCACTACAAAAGCAAAATACACGGACGCCATGGTGCAATAACAAGCGCCGATCCTTCGATCGGCGAGGATCGGAGGCGCGGCCATGATGGGGGCGGCTGCGTCTCGGTTCGGCAAATATCGGCAAAATGCGACTCAGCGCTGCTGCTGCGAATGTGGTGGCAGCTGTCATCATCGCAATCTTCTGCACTGAAGTGGCATCGCTTCCCGGTGCACTCCTACCGGGCGCCGCCTTCCCCGTCATGTCCATCAACACCACTCATTCAAGCGGGCCGTATCATGAGCTCATCGCCCTCTCTCCCCACCACGTCATGGCGGCCTTCAGAATCACACACACTTATGGCCACACACCTAGGGCAATGCGAGCGAGACGCCCTCCAGGACAGTCACCACATTCATCGAGGCTCGGGGCGACAACAAGGCTTCAACGTGAGCGATTCGAGGTGATTCCATTGCAGAGAAGGTGCAAATCTCTGTCTGTTGCAACAGCGTGCAAGGTAGCTGTCGACGGAGAGGGGACTGTGCGCAAGAGTAAGGTCATCGAGCCACCAGGCGGCTGCCCAGGGGATCCGGGGCTCAGTGCATCCTGCCTCCAGAAGGCTTCGACAAGGCGGGGCCTGACGCCGTCCTGGAGGGATTCCGCGGGCTGTGTCAGGAAGGCCAGGAGCCGTGCGTGTGTGCAGGGGTATGAACAGGAGAGACAGACATGCAGATGGCGTCTGTCTCCCGACTTCCCTCAACTCCCCCCGCTCTCTGTAGGTCCACACGTGCGGTCACCTCCTGGCGCTGGTGCCTGGAGTCTCGTCTTGGTTCTACTTTTCCGACCCCGACGCCGCCCACTTCTGTGTCTCGAAGGAGCCGGGCACGTCGGGGGATGCGAATGCTTGCGTCATCCACCAGTGCAAGATGTGCCAAGTGGGCGAGACCGACGAACACAAAGCCTTGTGCGCTGCAATGGTGAGAAAGTCGGACACACAACACAGACACGGACAACTGATGTGCCTGCCATATATACAGAAGGAGAGGGGTGGAAGGTCCGGCAAATTGGTGACCATGGAGGTGGAGAAGGAGAAAGGCGCCTTCCAAGAGGCGACAGTGTGCAAGGCCTTCTTCCCGACCGAGACCGAGGGGGAAGAGGGAAGGTATAGAGCCGTTGTGGCCAACAGAGACTGCAGCCCCAACGTGCTTAAGGCGAGTGGCCGAAGAGACAGCACAAGGGCTTTCATTCAATTGCCTGGTCTGCCTGCTATCCTTTCTTCCTTCAGGAGTGACATTCCGACGTTGATGAGCAGTGTGTGGCTAAGGCATGAGACATGCATACACCAGCCATGGCTTTCAATCATCGCATCGTTGTGTGAATGGTCCACCAATCCCTACCTGCCGTAGCTCAGCTGCCTAGACACGCAAAAAGCCTATCTCTCTCTCATCCACCCAGCCACATGCCTGCCTCGATAAGATAATGCGGCAAGAAAATCGCATCGCATCTCTCACACGCAGCAGCCACACCCCACACAGCACACCGCACCCGGTCATCTCATCCCTTGACGATCTGCTTCTCAATGTCACCCCGCAGCCTCCCCGGCCCCGGCACCACACCGGGCACGGTGTCGATGACCGACTCCATCGAGTAGTCGCCGCTCTGCACCCTCAGTCGTGTGGGCCGCTCGTCGACATAATACTCGACTTTGCACGTTGACGCGATGAAGTCCAGCACTCGGTCGTGAAGCTGCATGGCCGTCAGACGCTCTCTCAGGATCTTCTCATCCAACTCAGGTGCCTGACGGACACACGCGCATAGACAGGGATGGGTGGATGGAGTGTATGTGTGTTGTGTGTGTTGTGTGTGTTGTGTGTGTGTGGATGGGTGGATGGGGCTCACTCACCCGTTCCTTCGCTTCTCTGGCCTGCCGCCTTATCGTTTCTTCGTCAAGGGGAATCTTCTCGGACTCGCGGATCGTCTGCACATATACATACAGGAAAGGCCAAACGGATACATAGCAGCATGTCACGCCACCCACCCACCCATCACACCCACCACCCACCTGCAGTATGAGTGACGACGCCACCTGCCTGACGACCACCGGCCTCATCTCCTCCTTGAACTTGGCGAACTTGTTCATCAGGGCGTCGGGATCGTCGTCCTCACTCACCTCATCCTCCTCTCCCTCCTCCTCTTCCTCGCCAGTCTCCAACGCGATCTCCTTCCGCTTTTCCTCCTCCCGCCTTTTCTCTTCTTCTCGCCGTCGATTGAACATTTCTACCAGCTGCCGGTCGATCATGGTCTCGGGGATCTCGAAGTCAGCTATGTTGGAGAGTTCATTCTGGATGGCGCCCCGCCTGGCCTTGACTGCTCGCTTCTCAAGCTCCTCGTCGACCTGGCCATCGATCATCGACCGGAACTCGGCTAGCGTCGTGTTGGTTCGCTCGCGCATGAAGGCATCTGTGTGACATAGAGAGGGGGGGACGATTTGGGGGTGTGTGCTTGTGTATGTCGGTGCGCACCGTCTACTTCTGGCTGTTTCCTTCCGCGTATCTTCACACATCTGAGTATCATCTGCACCGGGATGGTGGCTCGCAAGCCCATCTCCTCAATCCACTCATAGCGGTCCTTGAAGTCGTGGTTGATCTTGACGTCGCCCTCACCCTTGCCCTCTTCCTGTTGCTGCTGCTCGTCCTCCACAAAGCCTTCCCTAGGCTTCAGGGCGGGCAGCTCGACATTGACCGGACGAGTGTCACCGACCTTAATGCCAATCAGACCTGACAATGAAGGGAAGGAAAAGAGCGCATTGAAGGCAAAAACGGGCTCTCCTCTCTCCGTGTCATAGAGTCACCTTCGCACAGGCCCATGGGGTTCCATCCCTTCTCGAGGATGACAGACACGACCTTCTGGTAGTCCTGCCCCATTTCAATGGTCTCGTTCAGAACCTCACCTGTCTCATTCCGCGCATAGCACTCCTGCAGCTCCACCTCCACCATGTCACCCCACTGGGCCCGGCGCAACAGATTGCCGTCCTCGTAATCGAAAGGAACCGCGTGAATGGACCTAACACACATTGACTCCTGTGTGCACACGGGTGTGTTTGCGTGTGGGAATGTGCTCACTTGAGCTGTTTGACGGTTTCATTCCACGCGGCGTCGGGCGGTACGGGGGGCTTGGCGACCCGCACCTTGATGTCGCGCCATGACTTGGAAAACTTGACTGTCGGGAAGACATCCATCTTGATGTCCAGCGTGAGACCCTCATTTGGCGCGAAGGTTGAATACACCTCCTCCAGCGGCTGAGTGATGACACACATGCACAATGAATGAGGCGGGTGGGGCTGTGTGTGCTCGTTGGTGGGTAGGGTGGGGTATGGGTTACGTTGAGGAGTCGCGGCTCTCCGATTGCCTGGATGTCTTTCTGTTTGATGGCCGTCTTGACCAGTTGCACACAAAGCAGCTGCAGTCGCATCCATCCAGGCACTCGATCGGATCAATATGGCGATGTGGCCATGTGTACATCTGTGTGTGTGTGTGATTGTGATTGTGCCCACATCGAGCATTTTCCTGATGATGCTCTCCCTGGGCACTTTGTCGAGCACGAGCTGCCTCGGCGCCTCGGTCTTCTTGAAGTGGTTGATGGCCTGCTGGAACGTGCTGATCGACCGCTCGTAATACTGGACACACAGACGTAGACAGACAGACACATACATGAGGCATTCATTGTCCATTGGGCTCGCCTTGAAACGAGAGGGTGTCTGACCTCTGAGACGAGGAATGACGGCACATTGAACTTCATGACGACAGACGAGTTGCCGCCATCCGCGACTGTCACATCCACCTACACACACACACACACACACACACACAGGCATCGCGTACACTCACCTCCCTCTTGTCGTCGTGTCATCGTACCCGTGGAATGGATCCACTTGATGCGGCTTTGTCCCGCTTCACCTTCTCCCTCTTCGCAGGCTCCTCCGCGCCAAACCCCTTACCAAAGGCACGCACGTCCCGCCTCAGTAACCTCAAACGTGCACCATCAACACGAGACCTCGAGAGCGGGCTGGCAGCATCATGTTGCGCTGCAGGCATGTGCAAGCGACGAATTGGTCGTAGAAAGGCTGCAGGGAGGGATGCCGGCCGCCGCCGCAGCGCCTCTGCAGAGATCAGCGGCACAAGGAGATAGACGAAAGCTGAGAGGGACCACCTCTGTCGATAGGCTGCTGATCTTGTTAGTGATTGGAACGCCATTGCGGCAGCTACAGCAGCAGGCGCGGCGGAATGGATCAATCCGACAGTCAAGATGACGCTCGCAGAGAAGTCGATCTTCACTCCGAGAGCCTCAAAGGTGCTTCAGCCTACACGTTGGATGCGTCCTTTGTGAATTCTGATGCGAGATCGGCATCGTTTGCGAGCTTGGCTCGCAGCGACCTTCCTCGACAAAGGACGCCTTGGGGATGGCTCTGAAGCTGAAGATGATGGCGAGGTGCTGGAGGAAACAAATCATGAGTCAGTGAGTCAGATCCGCCTCTCCATGATGCTGCCGGAGCGTGCTTTTCGTCGCCTGCATCGCCCTGCCTGCTCCCTCGTCCCCTCCCCATCGATGGTTCATCATCAGCACTGCCGAAGCTACCTCAACGTGCGGCCAGCCCTGCTGCCGCCCATCGAGTCGGTGCAAGAAGGCCGCAAGATCGGTCCGCGGCTGGTTGACGAGCACTCGACGCCAACAGATCCAAAGGAGGGCCGTGCGCCAAGGCTGGCGGACCGCATCCAGAGGGTCAACCACTTCAACGCGATGTCCAAGCTGCTGCCCCTGATTGAGCGGCTGGGCTCGCTCGAGGAGATCCTGCTGTTCTTCACGGAGAGGCGCGAGCAGCTGAAGCCTGTCGACTACCACTACCTGGTGGTGCAGATGGCGAAACGGGTCAACGAGCAGTGCCCGCATCGGCATCAGACGAGGGCGTGGCACCGGTTGAGGAAGAAGCTGTTCAACCAGGCCGCGTTTCTGAAGCTGCTGCAGGACACCGTCAGGCGGCTGGACAGATTCGCCGCACCCGATCTCGCGGGCCTCCTGGCGGGACTCAATGACATCGGCTACCTCGAGGTGACTTCATGTCCACCAGCCGAAGCACAGAGACGCCCCTTTCTGCCGTCCTTCAGGTTGACCGTGGCTTCCTCACGTCCTGCGAGCCCTTCGTGCTTCGCGAGCTCCCGCGCATGACGCCTCCCGAAGTGGCCTCGACCCTGCACGCCTACATGACCCACGCCTCGCCGAGAGGCAACACGCCGCCGTGGCAGGAGGAGAAGGGCCCCTATCGGCGGCTGAAGCGACATGTGGCCTCGGCCGCTTTGTGTCGGGAGGCGTTTCACATTTTGCAGCAGAAGATGGGCGCGCTGGACTGCCGCAGCATGGCGTCGCTGTGTGAGAGCTTCTCCAAGAGCAAGTTCATGCCCAGACAGTTCCTGCAAGGTGGGGCGGGTGGATAGGAGCGAGTGGGTGGCTGCCGATTGTGGGTAGGTGCTGGATTGCATTGCATTGCATTGTGTGCGTGCAGATGCCGTCCCTTATGTCATGGAGCAGCTCAGCACCTTCACACCAAGTTAGCCAAGCTACCTAGCTCCACAGATGGATGGATGGATGGGTGGAGATACGAATGTCCACGTGTGTCTATGTCTTCTCATGCAGAACAGCTCTCACTGGTAGTGTCGTCCTACTGTCGGCTGGAGAACGCGGCGCCGGACAGTTTCTATGACGAGGTGGCCAGGAGGTACCTGGAGCCGGGCGTCATGGACGAGGCGCAAATCACATGTACACGTGCGCACGTGCAGCACACATATGAGCACACACATGTACACATGCACTCACTGCATACGGAGGGTGTGTTTGTAGGGGTGGTGCGCATCCTGTGGGCCGTGGCAAAGAGGCAGGTGAGTGGAGTGAGCGCCTGAGCTGAGCAAGCCCCCATACGTATGGCATGGCTGGCCTCTTTTCGCTGTCGTTCAGCCCGGCAGCAACGTGGAGCTCTTCGAAAAGGCCGAGGGTTAGTCGGCAGACAGCTCTTCTTTCATCTCCATATCGATGTGTTTGTTGTGAATGGAATGTGCCCTCCCACCGTGCAGCCAAGGTGCTGAAGGACATCCACTTCTGCAACGCGCAAGAAGTCGCGCTGCTCGTGTGGGCATACAGGTAACAACACATCACGGAAACACGCTTTTCTCCGGTAATGGAACACGTGTGCTGTGCCGGCCGTGCTTCAGCCGTGTGGACATTGGCAGCGCGCCTTTGTGGTACGCCCTGAGGGAGCGGGCGCTCAAACTGCATCCGAAGATGACCCCACAGGGGCTCTCCAACACACTGCTGGCGTTCGCAAACACGCTGGGAAGGACACTGGTACCCTCGGGCAGCAGACATGCTGGCAGGGGGGCAGCAGTGAAATGTGTTCTTCCCTTTCAGGACGATCAGTGGCGAGTTGATACGTCCTTCTTCGATGTTGTGGAAGGTGAGAGTGTCGAAGGTGAGGTGTGGGCACCTCCTATCGGGTATCTATGTGCATCTATCAGGGACGATTGTCAAGACAATCAACAGATTCGAAGCCCTCGACATCACCTCCACGGTCAGAATGATGTCGAGGGCGAAGAATATATGGCACCAATGGCCCTTCGACGAACTCATTGCAGGCGACGGCGTATTCGACGGTGCGCAGCGGGTCCCCTCAGCTTTACGGCGTGCTGCAGCAGGCGGCACTCAACCTGGCCAACGACTTCTCGGCTGACCAGATCGCCAGACTGCTGCTCGCATTCGGTCAGAAATGTGCGCACACCGATGTGGCGCACGAACACATGTGTGACGTGTGTTTGCTTGCTGGGTGTATCTATCGTATGTTTGTATGCAGCGACGGTCCGTGCGGGTGACAAGATCTTCTCCGTCTTTCAAGTGGACATCCTTGAGCGGCTCAAGCAGCACACTGCGCACGGTGTGTGTGACATCTGCTGGGCCTATGCGGTTGCCCGCTACTACGACCGTCAGTTCTGGGAGACTCTGCTGTCCCTCATCCAGCCGTCACAGCTGGCCGGCGACCCCCGGTGCGCCCTGCTCTTCCCCGCACTCAGTGACCTATCCCTCGGTAGGTATGTGGGCGGGCTCTCACTCACGCACACACGACACACAGGTCACAGGTGTGTCTGTGTGTCGGTCGTGTGTGCTTTTGTCAGCTGTGACGTCACTCAACTCTACGGCCCTTGAGCGGTGGAAGAACTACGTCCGCGGCGATTTTTGGGATCTGCAGATGATCGAGTTTCCACAACGATTCGCCGAAGACGTCGCACAAGGTACAAAGACACACACACACACACACACAGACAGAGAGAGAGAGAGAGAGAGAACCACACGAAGAGTGGCGGACGATGCTCCTCTCCCCGTGGTCAGCTCTTGAGTTGCTGGGTCTGGGCAGCTATGTGCGGTGTTGTCACGACTACGACGGCTATCTGCTGGACGTGGCTCTGACCATCCCCCTGGGCCACTCATCTACACACACAGTGGCCATCCTGTGCCACACGGCCATGTCGGTGCACCACGGCACGCAGCAGCCGCTCGGGAACAGCATCATGAGACATCGATACCTCAGCAAAAAAGGTAAGCAGCCGCGGGCCAACGGACAATCAGGCCACATTGAAATGGGCTGCGTATCCGCGTGTGGGTGCAGGCGTCAAGGCCGTCAACTTGTGGTGGGATGCGTGGAAGACTCTGCCGACGATTGAGGAGCGGGCAACGTTCCTCAGCGAGCGGCTGCACTCCGTTGGCATCAATGAGGCCACACTGGAGCTACTGCTGCATAAACAGCCCCGCCCTCACCCCTCACCCGAACAGCCCTCCTCGCAGCAACATCAGCACCCCAAGGCCACACACGAAGACGTCCCCAGACACACCGAGACTGAGAGAAGCCGAGGCCAGTCACCATCCGCTGTCACACACGATGCTCAGCCAGCATTGGGACAGCCGCCGCCGATCGAGGGGTTCTTCCCGCAGCTGGTGACGGTTCGCTATGCGAATGAGGCGGACAACGCCAACACTGCCCCCACAGGTGGCGACACGCAGGCTGCGGGGAGCACCGTCATGGTCGCTGGTGGCCGGAGGAGGGGCGGCAGGAGGGCAGGGAGGCGACCCTCTGAGGAGAGCCAGGCCTTCCACCTGTTCATGCCCGACCACACAACAGCAGCGACTGCGGATGTGACCCCCACCCCCACCCCTCCGACCGAGGGCCTCTACCCCGAGACACCGCTGGATGAGGCCCGTGTCACGATGGCCGAGCAGCTGCCGCCCATCTGGACAAGGAAAGAGTCACGCAATATCGAGGAGAGGCGGCACAGAGAGGGAGAGAGCGACAGCACCCAAGAAGACGATGACGCGAGCACATGGGATGAGGACGGCGAGGAGACAGACGGCGAGGCGAGTGCGAGTGTTGGTGGTCGTGCCGTGAGGCTGACGATGCGGCAGCGGTCGAGGATAAAGGAGTATAGGATCCGTCAGACCCGCAACAGGCGGCGGCGTGAGCTGGAGAAGATCGTGAGCGAGACGGAGGGAGACCCCTCACAGTGGCTGCCGGCTGAGCAGGAGCAAGAGACGGGAGCATTCCAGCTGGAGTCAGATGCCAGATAGATGATACGCAGACAGACGGGGAGCGGTGACTGACTGTGCATAGACAGACCGAGACAGATAGACAGACAGACAGGCACTGCAGGCCATTGACTGACAATGAATGAGTCAGTCAGTCGATCAATGCTATGCTGTATGTCCTATTTATGCAAGTACGGATGCATCCATGCGATGCAGGGCGCTCATGCGCTCATGTCCTCCTTGATCGCGGCCTAGCTAGAGCAAGGAAGCCAGGCCAACAGCCAGCCAATTGATCAACCACTCACCGCCCCGCCCCATAGACATAGTCCCGAGGGCTGTCCTGCTGCGGCACCAGCAGTGCGTTCACAGTCTTCTCGTGGTAATTGTGGATGCATACCGCACCCAAAAGAAGCCTGCAGCCATATACCACAGACACACACGAGAGACACGCACGACGAACGCAGGGAGAGACACCCGATAGATACCGATCGGTCACTCGAGTGAGTCATCCATCGTGCTTCTCCCATCCTAACTTACACAAAGATGGTGCACAGAGCGAGTCCAAAAGCTATGAGGAAGCACGCCTCAGCGCCCAGACAATGAAACCGCGCCCCGAACGGGAGAGAGCAGATGCACTTGCGGTCGTGAGCCGGTTTCGTGTAGCTGCGACGAATGGGGCCGTAAGCCGTGACGTCTTGAGCCTGCAGAGCATTGTCTGCAGTGTCTTGTGAGTCAGCTGTTGTGGGCTGCGCAGCTGCTCTCCTTTCTGATTGCAGTGCGCTGCCTGTCCTGGTCAGCAGCGACTGAAGGGACACCAGGGCCCTCCTGCCGCTCTGGTGGAGGAAGGCTCTCGGCCGGTGGGGCGATGGTATTGGTGAAGATGCTTGATTGAGTGGAGGTTGGACGAGGGGGGACGATATCGATGAGAGCTGAAAGAAGCCGAGAAGAAGAGCAAATGCGATAAGGACCTCCATGGGAGCAGCAAAGGACCGGGGAGGAAGAGGGAGAACGACGACTGGCGAGACTGCGTGCTTTTCACTTGGGCCCCCCTGCCCCCTGGCCTGCCTTCGCCGGTGCGACAGCTCCCTGTTCTTTTGGATTTAGTCGTAAGTATCTTATGTATGCAGACTTTATAATATATATCGACACAGGTCTCTTGTTATCCAAGCATAAGTATATATACCCCCCATGATTGAGTTGGTGATTTCTCGGCTGTTTCTCCTCCTTTTCGGATGAGCGAGCGTGTATCGGACTACACCCAACCCCCTCCACCTGCCCTCATC